ACGCACACACACACATATATATAAATATATATATTTAAATTTTTCCCAGGCCAAACACATTATCATGCTTCATCTGCAACCCCATGCAGTCTAACATACCAACCAATATTATGGATGGTAATGCAAGTATTAGCAGCGTGCACATAATTGGCGTGTCCCGTGTACACCCCAAAATGACTTGCATGGCTTTGTTTTGTATGCATTTCAACTTCTCTAGATAGGAACGAGATAATGTTAGCAGTCCTAACCATACTCCACATCATAAAAATAATCAGTTGCTGGCAGAATGTATAGATAATTTTCAGTCCCATGTCTGTCGATGCTATTACCTTCAAAGCATTGGGTCCTTTCCCGATCTTTAAAACCACCTCTTCTACATGGTGTTTGAAAGATAGATCCCTGTCAAAAGTAATTCTAGATATTTTAGTGAATTATCTCTCTTTAAATTACTGCTCTTTATTGTGATGTATGGCAACACATCTCTAACAATTCTGTTATTTAAAATTAAAAAAAAAAGACCACAACACTGCCACCTTATCTGGTTGATGACATAGCCCGTTTCCTCACTGACTTTATCTACTGTGATCTGCATTCTCTAGATATTTCCATTCTATTTCCACCTGTGTGTAGACTAAGACATCGTCAGCATAAGTCAAGATTCTCTCTATACTCATTGTATTTATTGCCCAAATCCTGCTTGTGTTGAAAAGCACTGGGGAAATGGCGGAACCCTGTGGGAGGCCAGGTGCGATACTATGTGGTTCACAGCTCCATGAGCTAAGGTGAAAGGCAAACTGCTTTTCATACAGGACTGCTGCAATCCAATAGTTGATCCAGTGACTGACCTCCATATCCATAAGTATATACAGTAAAACATCATACCTAACCCTGTTACATGGATCTTCTAAATTCAGTGCCGCCACCACTGTTTCATGTTTATTTTGAAACCCCTCATAAACATTTTAAGCCAGGATTACGGTGTTTTCCCATATTTCTTTTTTTAGTCAGTAACTTTCTAACCCTCTCAGTAAGAGTAGGTTTTTCAAGGTAATCCTGTAATTTTTCTGCCACTATCTTTTATAAAATCTTACCGAATGTATTCTGTAACATAAAAATTCTATAACCACTCAATTTGGTATGATCTTTATCTGGTTTCAGGAATGGTATGAGGTAACTATGCAGCCAGTCCATTGGAACTGATGCCTTTGCAATGCTGTTGTTGAAGCACGACGCCATTCCCCAAAGCTCCTCATTACTTAAACTTCTCATGTGACTATACCTAACTCCATAATGATAGCACAATGTTAGCACAGTATCTAATACACTCAGTCACTAACATTATTGCTTGCTGTTTGGCCCCAAGTATCACTGGTTTTGTTTTTCAACCTCCACATGTGATATCTGGTGCCCCATTTGAGGAGAACAGACCCACTGCCTCCTAACAAACATGCCATACAAGGTGGCTAATTAGGAGTTTTGCTGAAATCTGTGTATACATGAACCTTTCGGCACAATACATCCAATTTCAGCAAGGTACTAAATAGTTGCCTTTTAATACATGCTTGTTAGGGTGATAGTGACAATCCCCCCCCCCCCCCCCCCCCCACAAAAAAATGTGGCTCCAGCAAATGTGTATCCTTTTCTGATCTCAGCATCAATGCACCTGAATTCTTCTTCTTCACATTCACTGGCTGTAAACTCTGGCAGAAAGTTCTGGTTGTTCATCCACTTCTGGACTTCTAGTTTTTTTCTCTCCAGAACCTGAGTGTTGTGTGTGCATCTGTTTTACAGATATGACTCATTTGCATGCAGCTGTTGGTTCCTTGCACTCTGACTTCGAAGGAAGCTTCCAATTAGTCGACTCTTATGACATGCCTTGGACTGGCAGTGGATCTATTCTTGTTTTCCCTATAACAGGGCCCCGGAACCCACAGGAGGAGCGCCAGAATTAAAACTTAAGTTCTTCCAGAAGATTATTCAACCAACCAGCTAGTGCGGCTCTATAGAAGAAAGGTTCGCATACAGTGTGCTGAATATTTCAAGAATGTTCTAGGCATTAAAGGCAAGAGTAAGGCAAATGATCACAATCTCAACCCTATTAATGATGTAGTAGTGTGAAGGCCTAGTTACATGACAGTATTTACGATGTCACTACCTTGCATCTGCTGAAGAAACTGATAATGACAAAGAATAAATATTTAAATTATCACATGTGTTGCACAAGTGAGAATTAGAGTTGGTCTATACACTTAAGCTGTAACAGTATTTGTAAAGACAATATACTATAAACTATATGACAGTATATTAATAGTAACAAGATTACTCTCCTTCTTCAATGGGGCCTACAAAATGTCATTGAATGAATGTTTTAAACATCAAACGTATAGCATAAAGAGAAAAGCCATTATTTGATCATTAATATTGTCAATACACAAAGATATATTTCCATTAAAAAAAGAAATAGATCAATGGCTGTATATGGTATAAAAGACAGATAAATCATAAATGTTCTCATTTTTGTTTGCATCCAAGTGAAGCCTAACGTTATAGAAAACAAACGCTGCTATAAATCTTCATTATTATTCCAGTTAATTTACTCCTCAGTATTAATTTGAGTCACCTGGATAGTAAGTGAGAAACAAGGGATGAGAAGGTTCAAACAAAACAACCCCCCCCCCCCCCCCCCCCCCATCCCCGAGGATAGGTTTCATACTTTCAGTTATATGTTGTAAATATTCATAAACTAGCGAAGTCAATAGATTTGGAAAAATGTGCTATCCTCCGAATAACGGGCACATATTATGGCAGCCGCAAAAACACCCTAACAGGGCCTCAGTCACATGTCAATTGCGCACTTCCGGCGACTTAATTTGCGGACTTTCGGCGACTACCGCAGAGATTATCTTCCACGCCGCGTGGATTGGAGCTAAACTAGATGGCTGGGACTCATGAGCAGCAGCTTCCGCATCTCCTGCAGCTTTTCTCGTGAGTCGCAGCCATCTAGTTTAGCCCCAATCCACGTCGGAAGTCCGCAATTTACATGTGACTGAGGTCCTGTTTTTGGCCGCCATAATATTTGCCTGTTATTCAGAGGATAGCCGAAAATTTTTTGAAACATATAGTTAACTTAAAGGGCTCTCCTTTAAATAACGGTCGCTAGCTGGAAGGCGACGGCCGCTGTGTCCGAGTTCACTCCCTTGGATGCAGTGCAAATACGGAGCAGACAAGTCACGAATCAAAAAACAAAGTGAGGTCGACATGCCTGCTAAAGCTAGACCACGCGCAGCGACTGACAGTAGCGACCGCCGTTTGCGACGCAAGACTCTCGTAGAGCAAGCGCTTCGACTCACACTAGCGACCGCGTTCTTCCGACGCACGACTTAGTGACCGTAGATGTGAGACCTGCGGATCTGTATGTCGTAATGAGCGATAAGCTTCCGTCATTTCCGTGATGTGTCACCCTAACCCTAACCCTACCCCAAATCCTAACCCAAACCCTAAGCCTAACCCTAGGATGACAGGTAACTATATCATTTGTTTAATTTCCTCTTTACCACTCCGTATTCGCACTGCAGCCAAGGGAGTGAACTCCGACTAAGCGGCCGTCGCATTCCAGCTAGCGACCGTTATTTAAAGGAGAGCCACTTAAAGTTATACTCAGCAATTGGCGTCTGTGGCTGAGGCACTGCGAATGTACTTTGCAGTAACAGGGTTCCAGGTTCGATCCGAGCTGCAGGCAATTTTTCGCCTTGTGTTGTTTTTGACAGTGTTATCAAGAGCTGACCGATCAAAAAAAGCGATTTGCTGCAGTTTTAAGTGTCTGAAATACAGTTGAGTTAAGTGCATTTGCAAAACCTCCACCTAATGAATCTTTACAAATGGTCGCAGATGTGTATGTGTTATGACTGTACTTCAAATACAAGCAGAACATTTCATAGATGATAGAACGGAAGATATTCATTTATATAGTGGGTGGGGTTTGTATCAGAGAAGCGAGTCAGACTCCCGGTGCAAGTGGAGTATGACTGTAAGTAAAGTCAGTAAGCTCAGGGTTTCGATTTTCCAGCATCACTTAGAAAACCCAATCACTTATAACTGCTAAACCTTACTTACAGCTTTGCCCTTTTCTGTCATTTCAAAATTGTTAAGGTATGATTTGAATCTCCGAGACATTGAAAGCATCAATCAAGAATTCGTCAGCCTTCCTTATTCATTTTCAGACAAAATAACTATCTTCGTATAGGGGAGGTAAGTGATCATTTGCCGTCTGACTTCTACCAGATAAATGTAGCCTTTGTGTGCTGAAGTCATATTATTGACATCTCTGGATACACTTAATACAAGGACAATTGAATTATTGATGACGATTTTAACTGAGCTTTACGTTTACATTAAAAGGATTTTTTTGTTTCAAGTTCCTATAAAGATCAATATTTTTCTTTGTCCAAAACCTGTGAGCTTTAAGAACGAAAATGGCTATATAGAGGATAAATATTGCGAAACAAAATTAAAAAACAAATGATTCAAGTGACTTTTGAAAAATAAGTAAATATTTTACTTATAGATAAATAGCACTTTGTGATGTAATTGTCCTAATAAATTAAAAACAAAAAAGTAATTCTTACAGAAATTATAAACTTTAAATAGCAAAAAAGCATTAGTTAACACAGATACTAATTTTATGAGCAAGGAACAAAAATAAATACGCTATATAAGTATATATTGATTATAACCTAGGACTGAATATTATATACTTGTTTGGCACAGGAGTAATTACTGCTATTACTAGGCAGTACATAAGAAAAACAAATCGACGAAACCTGCTGTAAAATTGAACATGAGCCAATGTGGCAAACGGTGCAGGGCATGTTTGTGTATAGCAAGAATCAGATACACTTTGGTGCTGGGGGATCTTTGAGGCCATTGACTGAATAGAATAAGAAATACATGCACATGTATTGATAACCATTTATAGAAGTAGAAAGTTAATAAGTGTCATCATGCTTCGTTCAATATTAAATAGAAATATTTTGTGGAAATTCAAGTTAGAAATTAATTCACAAAGTGAAGTCAATTTCCAGGCATGTTTTCGTCACTCTGTGGCAGGCGCGGGTACTCTGCGACCTTTGAAAGTGACTTCACGAGAACACGGTCGAAGGGAGGATAAGAATAAGATGGATCAATATCCAAGGAGAGGAGAGAGGAGACATTTTACAGAAGAATTTGATGATGCAGAAGAACTGGACAATTTGGCGAGCTCGATTAGTAAATATACAAACAAGAGAGATGCGTTCGCTGCCGAGGCGGAGCATACAAAGTGAGCATTGTCATTCATTGTGTGTTTGTTTAACTACTGTTACAGACAGTATATACTATATGTTGTCTGCTGCTACCCGGTTATGTTATACTTATTCTCTGTAAGTAAAATAATAAACTTGAGTCTGTTGTTTTGTTCTCGGATGCAAAAAGTCTTGCGATTTATTATAAGTGTACAAAAGGTTTACATTGAAGATACAGTGGACACCCTACTAGAAGAGTATACATAAAAATAAGGTGAACACTATACTATGTATATGTACTCTGTATTAACTATTTATAAAACTTAGTTTATGAACCTGAGTTAAGATAATACACATGCTCACATTGGTCTACGGGTTACATCGTAACTTTCTAACCCATCTTTTTTTGGGTACCTAAATTTAAATATAATTCGCACAGATTAGGGTTTCTTAAATTTTGTTCTTTATGTTGTATTCTTATCCAAATAGTGTCGCTTTGGATCTCTGGGTTTTAATAATCTCACAGAATGAGAATGCAATCCAAGAAGGGAAAAGGGATGGTTGAACAAGAAACAGTTTATGTAAATGCTCTACACTCTCCTTGCTTTCATCAAAACGATGTTTCTTTAATTTAAAACAACAAAGTGTGAAAAAGGGTAAACTGGATAGAGAACTAAATAAATTGAAACAGAGTGCTGACTCCATTTCCACTAATACTCATCAATGATAAGGGAGTATAATTATTGTTTGACTTAATTATATTGCCAGTAGAGCTCTTACTAGAATTCTGAAATTCTCCTGGCAATTGGGCAAAACTAAGAACAGATTTGCCAGGGCACATCCCCCCCCCCCCCCCCCCCCCCCCCCCTCCCCCCCCCCCCCCCCCCCCGGATAAAATTGGGATGTGATTATTTTGTCTCAGCACCTTTTCTGACCAGTTTGTCAGCTCTCATATATTGCAGCTTGGTGGGATTCAATTTTGATTTTTGACATATTTGGGATAGTAGTTCTGGGTGGTGTTGGGTTTGTGTGTTTTGAGGTTTTGAACAACAAATCAACATCATGACACATGTGTGTAACCCATAAGTGCTCCGTTCTTCTTCTAACTCAAATCTGAGTCTGAAGAAGCTCAGAAAGTGCACAGGCTCTGTAGCACTGGCAAGGAGAACAGACAGTGGATCAGGAGAAAACGACTGCTAGATGTATAGTCTTCTAAGGCACTCTATTTTCATACTCTCCAACTCCACAAGGCGTCAGAAGAATATCCCATAACTGTGGTCAGATTTGTTTAGGCACTGCACCTGCCTGAGATATCATCAGAGGTATCACAGGGCAAAAACTATATGTGCAGACATAAAGATATTTCATGTGTGCTAGTGCGTGCATGACAGTCTGGTTGTTGCATCCTCTGGCAAATTAGCCACCATCTTTAGTACCTTAACTCTTTTGGTACCAAAGGACAATTAAAATAGTTATAAATCAACCTGTTGTGCCTACCTGCGTACTCAAAGAGTTAATTGCTGGCACATAGACTAAAGTGTTGTTCAGTCAGTTGTGTAATCTGTGATTTACAAGGGGAGTGAATAACAAACCATATTCTTCAAAACGAGCTGTTGTAAGGACCCTTTGGGAGTGAGTAAACAATGTGGAGGCACAACAGGATCATAGTCTAAAGAGAATGGTGCAGCAAGGAGTGACTTGGAAATCTGGCTCATGCTCAACACTCAGAGGAGAAGCAGGATGGACATACAGTCAGACTGTTACTAGTACCATTAGATTTGGAACTCATAGCAGATTCTTTTGAAATTTGCACACTGAAGCTCTGGGAATTGAGCTGCTAAGAAAGTCATTGGCACTTGAGTTCAAAATTGCCTTTTTTATGTTCATTTTCTCCCCGTGTGGGTTCTATGGCCCCATTGTAGGGAAAACAAGACCCTCTGCCTCCCCAGCAAGCATGTTGTAAGAGTCGACTAACTGGCTATCTTCAGTGTCAGTGTGCATGTGCCCGTAAGGCAAGGAACCCATAATCTGCATACAGATAAGTCAGTTTTGTAAAATAGATTTGCCCGCAGCACTCAGGTTCTAGCACAAAGTCTAGGGATGGAAGGATAACCAGAACTTTTCATCGGAGTTAAAAGCTGATGAATCCGAAGAAGTTCATGTTCTAAAAATGTCCATATATCCATCGTGTACAGTGTGGGCCTGATAAGGAGAACTCACTGAGGACCCAAGAAATGTTTCTTCTTATTGGAAATTCCTCTTATCCAGAGAAGAGTTCAGGCAAGAAACATTGCTGGGGATGAAACAATTGTTTTTCTCAACAGTAATTTGCCACACCTGAGATCGCCTTAAGCAGTCTGCTCTGTACGATTTTGAAGTTCTGTAGAACCAGTAGTGGTTTCCTTATTTGCTACTATCCTCTTCACTTTGTATGCACCTGTCATCCAGTGTCCTGTATGATTTATTGTTCTTACATAATACAGTGGCCTTAACTTTATGGGTGCAGTTTTTTTCTGAAAGCCCTGGGATTTTTTATACATAGCTTTCTGCTTTATGCAGTGTTTTTAGCCGGCAGCTGTCCGTTGTGTGGAGAGAGACCGAACTGTATGGGGTAGCCCAGGGCAGTGAAGTAGAACCTCTCAACTTCAACTTCTCATGCCTGTGAGTTAGGTTCAGCGCATCAGTTATCATCATATACCTTGTGTAGACGTACATGTTGCCTTTGTATTCTGGCTCAGTGACCTTTATGATTTCTTTTTTGCTACCATCTGAGGACATCCAGCAACATTTCTTTAGATTTGTCATTTGGTCACAATAGTCAAGTGATTTACCAGGGTAAGCCCAAGTGAGTCACATGACCTTCCTGTGATTTAAAAAACAGTATATCTAAAGAGACTGTGATGAGTATATCAGTAGAATTAATTCACTTTTGTGTGCTTCATTACATGTTGATATATTAGGGGAAGTCACATTTATTTTTGTTCTGGGATACGCAGGTGTCGATGGAAATGAAAGAGCTGATATGTTGGCTGGATCCGCTATCACTAATGACGGTCAGCCTATGGATCATGCTGATATTATTAATGCCCTCAGAGAAATGGGAAGGATAGATGACTTTGGTTGCAGTGAATCCACATCACTCGACAGAATGGCAGCCGAGACGCACACCAGACACACCAGAAGATTTGTTAATCAACATAGGACTGGTACTATTGGACATTGGGGTTCATATAGAATATGGGAGGATCTGAGCACCTATGGACATGTCCGGAGTGTAATGATGATAACCCAACTGACTAACTAATTAACTAATATGAGGGGAAGTCAGTAAGTAAGTCGCAAACAGTTGTTTAAGGAAAACGTCATCACATGGTCTGGCGTAGGCGTTCATGCATCTTCACAGGTCTCTGTCCCTTGTTCTCTGCATCAGTTCCGCCGACGATATCCCTCCATGCCACTGTTGCAGTCCATCCGTCATCGTCTCTTGATCTGCCTCTCCCATTTTTACCGTTGATCATTACAGCATGATAACAACTTGAAAACCATTTATTTTTATATATACACTGTCCTTTTATTTTTCAACATAATTTCCACCAATATTGATGCACTTGTCCCATCGTTTTGTCGGTCCTCCCAAATATGCTACATAGAACTGTGTGCTCAGTTGTCTAAAAGACATTTTCACTCCACATTCAGCTTCTGCATCATTCGCAAAATGTCTCCTGCCAAGGTGGATTTTCAGTAGACTAAAAAAGTGGAAATTGCTAGGGGCTAAGTCGGGGCTGTAAGGTGGATGTTCCAGAAGTTCCCACCCTAGATGGTTTTCTCTGAGTTAACCGAGCCGTATGTGGTCTGGCATTGTCATGAAGGAGCAGTACTCCTCTAGTCAGCTGGCCTGGACTTTTCTTTGAATTGCACCATGAAGCATTAATAGAACTTTTCAGTATGAATCAGCGTTCACATTGCCATCCTTTTTTTTTTAATTGGTTAAAAGCACTGTTTGACAATCCCAGAACACTGTCAGCACAACCTTCCCTGCTGATGGTGTAACCTTGAATTTTTGAACACAAGGCGAAGAAGGATGTTTCCATTGTATTGAAGCACACTTTGATTCGGGCTGGTAGTGATGCACCCATGATTTGTCAGCAGTAATAATTCTGTTCAGCATGTCTTCTCCTTCATCTGCATATCGACAGAGATGCTGCAAGGACAGGCATAATCGGTTCATTTTGTGTTTGTCTGTCAATTGTCTGGGCACCCACCTTCAGCATACTTTCTTAACTTTCAATTGATCATGCATTATTTTGTATTCTGAATCACGTGAGCACCCTATTGCAGCTGCTACAGAGTTAACCTTTATTCCCCTGCCACCTCTAATCATCTCCACCCGCTGCATGGATGCAATCTCAACAGGATGACCAGTTCTGTCTGTATTAACAATTTTAGAGTGTCCTTAAGAAAAATTGTTTACCCAGCTATGCACCACTTTACAGGATACAAATTTGTCAGCATAAACAGTAAGCATTTCCTTATGAATGTCCTTCGCAGGCATCCCCCCACCCCTCCAAATAAAACAGCACAACAGCACGTTTTACTTCCAGGATACACTACGTATGTAGTCGCCATTTTGATTTTGTTTTGCAAATGCAACACCTATCACTAACAAATGGAGACATAAAGTTTGATGTTGCCGTCACCTAACGACACCTTTAGAAACCACCAACTACATTTCCCTCCTGTCCCATAACCATTTGTGATTTACTTATTGACTTTTCCTCGTAACTTTATAGCACCTGACGAGATACAGTGAAATGTGCTTGGCAGTAAATTGTGCAGTGTATTGTTTGTGTTCCCATTATTTTAGATGTATATTTTGTTTTTACCTTTCTATTTTTATAGCAACACAAAACTTCTTTTTTTTTAACATAACTTTTTCAATTAATTTTTATGCATTATTTGATTTTACAAAAACGATATTTGGATAATCATTAAAATGTATAAAGTATGTCTTATTGTTTTCCCCCAGGAACATGATAAAACAACTCAAAACTCACAGATATAAAACACTTGAACATAAATTCTTTCGCAAACCGTCGCCTCCAGACTTGCTGACATGGGCAGCAAAAGAGCAGATACGATATTTACATTCATTGGATCCTGAAGAGTATAGTGTAGAAGCCTTGTCAGATTTGTTTCCTGTTAGCGAGGAAATTATTAAGCAGATGATTAAATCAAAAATACGCATGATTCGGGAGAAAGATATGCTACAGCATGATGAGAATGTGCAGAAAAACTGGGAAGATTTAATGGCATCCTTAGAAAACGAAGACCCTGCAATATCTGATAAATTGCAAGCTTTCAAGAATTCACAAGGTGAAATAATAATTCAGAATGCCACTGGTGTTAAAGATCTTCCTTTTTCTGAGAGAAATACAGATAGATTTTTTCCCAGAGGTGAATTTTCTGCCATTGTCAAGGACTGTTATGATGCTAAAAAAAAAGCATTGAAAGAAGCCAGAGAAGAGTTGCAAGCAAAATCGGAGGACATTTCAGCAGTATTGTCTAAGGTTTCGGAAAAAATCAAGATGACATCTGAAAGAAAAACAACTAGTTCAAGGCTTTTGAAATTAAAGAATAAAAGTACATTTCGAACAAATAATTCAACTGCTCATCGCACAGAACAACTTGCGAACAGAAATACAACAAATTCAGGTCCTGTAATCCAGGAAAATAATGTTCAACAAAATGTGGGCACAATAATGGTCCAAAAATATAAAGACAGTTTGTTGAATGACCATGCAGAAGAGTGTCAAAATATGAAGCGTAATATTGCGCGCAAAATTCCTGTGAAACCTGAGGCACAACAAAGAAACAGCAGTGCTACTTATATATCAGGAGATTGTGTTTATGACAAAAGTGGGACATTTCTTTACAGAATTCCATGAGTTTTGTTACGAGGATGTAATGAAATAAATATATGGGATTAAGTGTTGAGCTAAGAAGTGACATCATAGCACTCTGGACATTCCTGTAAGTTCTCCGTCCTCATCTTCCGCAACCAGTGAAGAGTTCCAGTTCCGATGGTGCCAGTAATGGTTTGATTATAATATGTCCGTCTGGTCTTTCCTCTGAGTGTAGAGTGTCGACCAGATCCCTGGTCACTTCTAGCTTTACCATTCTCTCCAGCCCGTATTAAATATATGTTACGAGTAGAGATAATCCCCCACACCACCCCAGACATTTTATAGGTGCTCAGATTCTACCCTCAACATGTAACAGCTCATAGTGAAAGTCTTGTGCTGTGGACAAGATCTTTCATGTGTAAATATACATGTGTGACTGGGAATGTTTTATTGGCAGTCTTGTAGATTTTTTAAAAGAGTGATAAGTTGAGAGTCCATTACAGTTAGTTAGTCTTTCCTCTTATGTCGAGTGCGGCACATAGGGCAGAGGTCATGACTCTCCATGCATAGCGGTTCGTTGCAATCTGTTGTAGGTCTTGGATGTTTGAGTGGCCCATGAGCGAGCCTTCCCTGATGATAGTTCTACGTAGGGTTCCCCTTGGTCTTCCACGAGATCTTTTCCCCTGTGGTGTCCAAATGAGGGCTTGGTAAGGGAGTCTTGATTTATCCATTCTAAGTAACTAGTATAAAAATGTAAGTAAATGAAACTTTTCATGTCAGTGTTACACTGGGCACAAGATGTTAGGCTTATATTTTTATAGACCAATAAGCACCAAATAGGTCATGTGATCAGCGTCGTGCTGGCCGTTTTTACTTCCCAGTACTTCTCCTGGCACCCAATTTAAGCTGCGTAGACCTGGCAGCAAGGCTAATTTTTTTAAAGGATCTGACTGCAGATTCAAACCCAAGACCTTCGGGCCAGCCTGGAAAACTTCTAGCTGCTATGCTGCCTCAGCTTCTACAGAATGTACAGTAATAAGTATCAAATTTTCTGGGTGGTCTGAAATTAAACAAGTTTCAAAGTAAGATGACTTTTTTTTTAGCACAATAGATGACTGCCTGCTAAGAGCGCTGACAAGAGTACAGACTTCATAGTTTCTGCAGCAACTGCCAGACATCTGTCAGCCCCTCCCCACACACAAATGCACTCATTAACAGGGCTGCAGAGCTTGCAAATGAACCCATCACTTGCAGGATGTGCAGTATTATTTGATCACTTTAGTAACGTCAATCTTTTGTGTTTAGCTCAAAGTACAAGCAGATAACAAAAAAAAAAAAGGTGTAACAGGCTCGATTGCAGTTGAAATAGCCAAACAACATCACTTTTCTATGTCTTTTAGTGCTTATTATTTATTTAGTGTAATGATTTTGGGTGACCAGCAATTTTGTATGTGTGTTACTGTTTCCATTCCCAAGTGATAATCCTATCTTTAGCTTTTGATGGTATAATATACTGATAGTATTTTAACTTTCACAGTTGGTTTTGGAATTCCAAGATTTGTGTACCGTGGCTTAGGCATTGCAATCACGCTTGATAATTCCAAGATGCCAGGTTCGATCACAACTGTGAGGGATTTGGCAGCAAATTGCCTACTGCAATCACAAACAGCCAAGAAATGTTGGGAAGAATCCTGCAACATCCTTTTAAAGATTAGCAACCAACTGGTGGCAGGGTAGTAACGGTTAACTCTAAGCAGCTGCAATAGGATGCTCACGTGATTCAGAATACAACCTAATGCATGATCAATTGAAATTTAAGAAAGTATGCTGAAGGTAGGTACCCAGACATGACGTGTATATGAACGTGCAAGCACATGCGCATCTTCTTCACATGCACTAAGGAAATTATAGAATCATAGTACTCTTTTTATTCTTTTAATTAAATAAAAATTTAAAAGTAATATTGGAATGATTCATTTTAATTGTTTATAGTGGAGTTACAAAAATATATTGTAACAGTGACATGAATATGGACTTGACTACACATACACCTACTGTAGCCTTCATTATGGAACTGCAGAATTAAAATTATTAAGAATAACCTATGAAATTTTCACAGTAAAAAGAATGTTTGTATGTGTGTAAGTAAGCAAAGGACCCTTTTTCCATCAGTGACGCATCGGACATAGGATGCCAGACTAAACATTTTCTAGACCAAAATGAACTTTGTGGGGGATGTGGTCACCATTACACCGACTATTTTTACTTCCTAGTTCCCATTTTAGGCAGGGTGGGCCTGACAGCAAAGGTCAGTTATAAAAATTAGCGGATGCAAACCCAGCTGAGTGTCTGGCCACTATACTACTGCAGTTGATTGACAGAGCTGAATTCTCCACTGAAATCAGCTTATCTTTATACAGTAATGAATTAGGTCAGAGCTGTGCAACTGGCAGACCAAATTGGCCTTCGAAGGCCTAGCAAGTGGCCTGCAGAGCATGGCCAGCTGTATTATATTAATGATCTTTCTATGCCAGATTTCAGGCGTCCTACCCTTGAGTGAACTTAGCTGAAAAGCTGTGAGTTAGATGGTCCTGAATATTCAAAAGCCATATTTGCAGTACATTTCAAGGCATGAAGAAAAGGTACTTTACTTACTTGAATGTTAAAAGACAAACATAGCTTTTAATTTCTTTCTTCCTTTTGCTGTACACTTCTTTCAGGTTTAAAAAGGGTTATTTTCTCTTTGTGGATTCAAAGAAATGTAAAATTCAGATTCTTATCGGATGCTTTGAAAACAATTGCAGTACTGTCACTTTTATTGCCATATTTTTATTTCTCCATCGTCTCGATTTGTGTCGGCCGCTTTTGTCTTGTTTGTTATGTAATTATAGAAATATTTTCAATTTTGTCATGTGTATCCTGTCTTGTATTATTATTTTGTTAATAATAATCTGTAATGAAATATGTAATGTGGTGACATAATAAATATATCATATTAAAACATAAGCATTTGTTGTCACTTCTGATGATAACTTTAATATTGTGCATGTTGAGCAATAAAAATAAAACAAGTTCAGTGTGTATATCTCTATATATATTAAGGGCTCATGTCATACAACTGCATTACGAGTTTTTAAAAAATAAATGAGAATGAGTGGATGTGACCACAGTACCCTTTAACATAAAAGATATGTGAGATCACAGGTTGTGCATAAAAACATGGGTTGTTTCATTGGGGTCACTACACCAAAATAATTTTTTTTTTAAATTTACAGAGTTAGAGCAATTATTTTATAATAGTCATTTGAAGGGATACATGTTATTACATTTGCATACTTAAAGTGTAAAAAAAATCATGGTTGTCATGGCAATAGCCGCCATCTTGGGGGAAAACAACTTGTACTTAGAATCCTAAAATTTAAAAAACAAACATACATATTAAACAACAGATGATAGATTCATGACTCTTTATCATATTTAGAGGTACAGGTGTAGTTTATTTACTTAAACTAAATATTTTTCATAGAATTTTAAAATGTAGGTTTATTGAAAGTCAAAAAAATCTTGCATGATAAGACAAAAACAAAAACCTGCTAAAATCTACTTTTAAAAAGACCAGTCCCTATAATATTGTTTAAGAAGTATCCGTACTAAATTTCATATTTCTAGTCTTTATATTAGCTGAGATTTTAGGATTTCACACACACAACAAACATAAATATTAAAATGTGAGAAAACTGACTTTTAAACTTTTTTTTATTTAAAAAAAGTGCATGGGTTGGTGCCTTTAGAATTAACTTTTCAATGCCCTAAGAAACCAGAGGAAGAGAAGAAGCAGAAGAAATTTTGAGCATTTGTCAGTTTTTATAAAAGCTCCTACAACAGGCTAGCTTGCTAGCCATGGCAAAAGTGCTGCCACAGCTATTTACTAAAAAAAACAATATCCTCCTGTCGGTAATTTTACCAGGATTGCTTTACATGAAGGGAAGTAACTATTAAATACACACTCAGCACATAATTAACTGCTTTATTTCCTTTTGACTAGGAAAAGAAATAGTTTTGACTGTGCCACACAGAACAAAGTGACATTATAATGAGGTTATTATGACATCACAATTTCAAAACACCAGTTTGTTTCACCCCAAGTAATATCTCGATAAATTGCTTTTGTAAATATAACCATACCCACTGTGTGGCCGCTGTTTTAAAGACACCATGTCATAAAAAAATGTATATGCCGGGAAAACAGCTTTCCTAGGTGACAGGATTACAGTCTAGAGGAGTGACTTTGATGCACCAGGTTTTACCTTATCTGGCTCATCTTCTCTTCACAGAACTTCTAGGTGCCTGCCGAGAGCACAGCACAAACCCTGAAGCTGCAGCAACCCCCCAAAGGATATCTGTAAAACTGCACCCATTAACACAGTCTATGAGAAAACCTATGACCATGACAGGCATGGCTTAACTCCTGCTTTGTTTTTATCATATTGAGATAGCTCTGGTAAATGTAAGTTTACAATTCAGCAAGTGAACAATAAAAGTTGGTTGTGTATCCTTTACAGGACATTGCAGAAATAACCTCAACATTTTTTGGCTGTTGTGATTTTTTTCTAGGCAAATTTACATCCAGTAAGTAGTTTGCCATTTCTTTCTGAACGGTCGGCTTCTCGATACCAGTGTTGAAACCAATGAAAGGCACAAGTGAACAGTCACTCATCATGTAGCAGGTCCTTTGCAGAACATCGCTCTCATCACAGTCTGTCTGTAAGAAACTCGGTCTCTTGCCAGTTCTCCTGCCTCATAAACTTTCACACTCAAGGAGTCATATCCTGTGCCCATCTTCTTGTCGGTCGGCCTCTGCCCCTCCTTCCTGGTACCATGCCTTCTGCCATAATTTTTTCCAATCCGTTGTGGCGCTTGATATGACCAAAATATTTCAGCTTTCGAGAAAGGATGCTGTTTATTAGCCCTTCATTGATGTTCAGATCTTTTATGACAGTTTAGAAGAGACATTAGAAAGGGTATACACAAGTGTACAGTACAGAGGCACAAATAGATCATCACAGTCTGAGGGTGCTGAGGAAATTAGTACTGCAAGCAGTGATCAATAGATCTGGCCGACACTCTAGGAAAGGTGAAACAGATATACAATCAGACTTGTTACTGGCACTATTGTAAATGGAACACCACGCTTGAAGATAGGAGCGGATCACTTACAGGAATGTCTCAAGTGCTGTACTGTCAATTCTTAATTCAACTTCAGAATTCACTACATGACTGGCTGTCAATTAGTAACCAGGTGCATCATCTTATGACAATAGAAAACACATACCCCTTGTGGTAAGTTTCAACCAATTCCATGGCCCTTTTGATATCAGAGTCATTGTTCTCAGTTAACTATCTTTCTGGTTATTAAAGCAGAAATTTGAGGGAAGGAGGACGGTGGCAGAGATATAACATTAATTTAGATTGTAAAATCATTAGAAATTCATTGCAGAGGAAGACACCATACAAACAAGAAAAGACAATTTAATGGTGGGAGAATCAATATCATTGCACCAGGTTATATCCCATATGGCTGTCTTCTGTCAGTGGTGGGTGTCTCTGAGGTGGCTGGAGCTGACAAAAATCAGTTCCATTTTCATGCCAGGTGTGCAAGGAAATGAGCCAACTGAAGGCTTGGAGGTAAGGCTACTGTGCAGGACAGACCTGTCATTTGCAATGGACCAGGCTGATATACTGTGGCAAATTTTGAAAGTGAAACTAAGATTAATAGATTACTGAATGCTGTGTCAGAAGAAAGATATTTATAAGAACTAAGTGACTGTGAATCTGCAACCATGACCAGACTGCAAGAACAGCAAGTTATAAGGGTTGTGGCCAGGCAAGAGCACTATGCAGGAAGCCAAAGGAGAATAAGAAACCAACACAAAACTGATGTCATTAGCTGTTACACGCTGCAGGATTTATTAGGCAGGGGATCGGAGTACTTATGGACTGAATGGTGCAGAGAGGATAACCTGTCCACTCATTTGATCCCCTCTGACTTGGTATCACCTGGCTTTAAGGCAATAATGCCCTATAAAGCACAAACCCCAAGTATCTCTGGAAAAACTGCACTTATACGCTCAACAGTGCAATCTGAAAATAAGTCCATGAATTTCAGACTGTGTGGCATATTGGTTGACCACCTTATTACAGAGTCTGGAAGGAATAAAAGAAAACAACAAGAAAAGCAGCTGACATGGTTGAACGAAAAAAAAAGGACAAACAGTTTCTGAATACTGAGTTTTAAGAAAGTTAAAAAAAAAAAATATATATATATATATATATATATGATGCCAACAATTTTATCAAGAAAAATTGAAGCTCATGAATAAATACGAAATATGTAGGTAAGTAAAGGACCATTTTCTAATCCCAGTGGCACATGGGGCATATAATCAGTGTCATGCCAGTAATCATAGGCTGTCATGATTCACATGATCACAGATCAGGTCAATGTTTTTGTCTTGTCCAATCCATGTGGCTAAACCATCCAGGTATTTATCTCTTCGCCTTCCTCTTGCTCTCTTTCCATCAATCTTTCCAGTTGTTACCAAGTTCCATTTCTTCTTGTCCAAATTATGTCTTAAAAAAATGTCAAATTGTTCTAATAAGTTTACAACTTTTCATCTGTCTTGATGAGGAAGGCTTTGTTTGTTTTTCTAAACCTCCATAATCCATCTTTTCAAAAACCGCATCTGTGCCGTGAGTAAATGTTTTTCAGTTTGTCTGCCTATTGTACCCGTCTCACATACATATAACAAGACATTCTACGCAGCACTTAAACACACCTTTTTCTCACTGCAGTTGACATTTTCTTATTGATATCTCTTGCCTCGCGCTAAAAAACCCATTTTGCCATGACGATTCTTGTTGCCAATTTCTGCAAGGCATCTTGCATCAGATGTTATGGCTGTTCCAAGATGGTTGTATCAATGCATATACGCCAAGACTCATATTTTTATAGACCAATCGGCACTCAGTGAGTGATGTGGCCAACACTTTCTAGAATATTTCCTGGTACCTATTTTGTTTGGTCGACTTGGGGACCAAGGTGATTTTCAAAATCTGTCCAGTGCAGTTTTTAACCCAAAACTTTCAGACCAGCATGCATGTATCTAACCACTACATTCCCTTGCACTCCCTGTAATGTATCTATAAAATATTTAATAAGGTATACATGAATATAAACATTATAAAAACTTAAAAACCCAAGGTTTTTTTAATCCTTTCTTGTATATAGGATATTCCTGCATAACTGAAAACAGGTTTTAAAACTACAACACATCTACATGTAAACTAACAAGAAATCTACATGTAAACTAACAAAAATTATGTCTATAAAATATCTGACATCCATTTCTTGTACTTATTCCCTGATGGAAAGCCATGTTTAACTCCTGGCCCATTGGTTCCGTTCAAACATGGTACGTCCGTCAGGGTGACATAGCAGCTGCTTTCATCTGCGCAAGGTGCATGTTCGAGTTCAAAGAGATACAGAGTATTTAGCTGGGGTTCTGTGTTTAAGATTGGTTTTGGAACATACAGAGTCACTTGTGGTCCCCTGCTTGGCCAGTAGCGTCCAATGTTGAAGTCATTCAGTATGGCTTGACCCTGTAGATGTATGATAAACATATACAACATAAGGTTTAAATTCACACTGAGGTGGATTTGTTTCAAAGCTGACCCTGGCTCCCTAGTTGACCCAGCCTAAATTGGGTACCAGGTAATGTCTTAAGAAGTAAAGACAGCTGGAGTGATGCTGACCATGTCACCCAACCCCAAAAAAAAATTGGCGATACGGGCAAATGATGGAGAAAAAAAAAGATGGGAAAGACAAAAGATGTATGGGGCGGGAAAATAACATTGACATGATTCTGGTGATTTTGTGGAATGGTGAACCATGAATTATAAATTCATTCATTCACGATCCTGTTATGCCATCATATGTCACATAGGGCTCGCAGTCTATTCATCCATTCTGTTCTATCCTATCAAATAAGTTCGATACCATGGATAAAATCCAATCCAGCAACTTTGACCTCTCTCATCAACGTTTGTCGTAGTGTTTCTTTTGGGCGTCTTCACCTCCTTAATCCCTTTATTTCCCATTTTAATGCCTGCTTCGTGATTCTCTGCTGGTTTATTCTTGAGATGAGACCAATGTATCGCCATCTTCTCTGTCTTATAACTGTTGATGCTAGTGGTTGCCCACAAATGTCTCTTATTTCTTCACTATTTTTTAATTCATCCCAAGTTATTTTCATCATCCTCCTCAGACATTTGTTTTCAAACACATCTCACTTTTGTTCCATGTCTTTGATGGTTCCCCAACTTTCATTTGCTTATGTCAAAACTGAAATAACATTAGAATTCAATATACGAAACTTGGTTTAAAACTGCAATTCAGAGTTCCATATTTTGTTCAAGCTATTTAAAGCTGCAGATGCCTTGCCAGTGCGTGTCATAATTTCTACCATGACTGCCAAAGCTTATTGCCAGGGCACATGGTGATGCTCTGCCTGAAGAATGTAAAATACTAGTAAGGTGACTGGTTGATGGATCCTCAATGAGAAATGGGTGTTAACTCTTTGAGTCCCAATGGGTTTAGCATCACAGGCCCAAGGGGTAGTAAAGAGAAACATAAAATTGGCACATCATGCGTTAATTGGGCTTTTAGGTAGGAATCTATGAACGTATGAGGTGTTTTCTGGAACTCAGAGATTTAATACTGAACATCCACCATGTGGGTTCCAGGGCCCTATTATAGGGAAAACAAAAATAGACACAGTGCCTACCCAAAAGCATGTCGTAAGAGTCGACTAATTGGGAGCTTCCTTTGAAGTCGGAGTGCATCTGCCTGAAAGACAAGGAACCAACAGTCTGCACACAAATGTGTCAGATCTGTCAAACAGATGCACATGCAACACTCAGGTTCTGGAGCAGGACTGCAGTCCAGAAGTGGACATACAACCAGAATTTTCCACCAGAGTTTACAGGTGGTGAACGCAAAGAAGAAGAAGAAGAATACAGAACATCATGTTGAAGCTGTTTGAATTCTGAAAAGGGTTTGCATTAAAGGGAAGCAACCATTTCCTTCCTCCTGACCCTTTATCAAAGTGCTATCTTCAGGGAGACTGTTGCAAAGCTTCCTTCTTTACTCCAAGATCTAGCCAGTTAAGTGAATTAACACAGCACAAACAACAACTAGGAAGTTCAGCAAAGGAAAATACACACATAAAGCTGAATGTTTTGACCAAAGTCTTTATCAACAAATAAAACATCATCATCTTGTGCCCTGCCAACTGGCGTAGGAACTCATGTGTCTCCATAGATCACGATCCCTGGTTGCCTGGAACAGCTCTCTTAATTATTTATATCCCTCCATGCCATCGCTTCAGCCCATCCAGCATCATCTCTCTTGGTCTGCCTCTACCTCTCTTTCCACGGATCTTTTCAATTGTCACAATGTTCTCCAATGTCTCTCTTCTCATTATGTTGCCAAACAACAGTGTTTGTCTCTTTCTTATTGTTGTAATTAGAACTGCTTTTATTAGCTTCTTTCAAGCAATTGTTGCCGTCCAAGGTATTCGTAACATTCGTCTCAGAAACCATATCTCTGTTGCTTCCATATTCTTCTTAATTTGTTCACTGACATTCCAAGATTCGCTGCCATACAGCAGAACAGGTCCTATGTAACATTTTATCACCCTCTTTCTGACATTAAATTAGAGCGATTTATTGCATAAGATATTTTTCTTATGCAATAAAAAAATAATAATAAATAATATATATATATGTAATAAATAAAACATAAGGAATCATAAAGCCACAACTAATCTATAAAAGAGTTGTATACATCAAATGCAAAAATTAGAATGGAATACTTTCTAGTTTTTAGTGATGATTATAAGCCAGTTTTCTCCAATATTCAGATCCTGCAGAAGTCAGTTATTTTTCTGTTATCTGTATTCTAGAACTTGTTCATCTGTAAAGTAAAATTAAGAACCAGTTGCCAAGCCTTCAGGTTTACTGGGCCCATAGTGCAAGATCTATATTTTATAGACCAACTGCGCTCATTGGGTGATGGATCAACATCACACTGGCTGCTTTAACTTCTCAGGATTCTACTTGGTACCCAATCAAGGCTGGGTTGACCTGGGAGCCAAGGTCATTTAAAAAACAACAAAAAAATCTGGCTCCATTTGGATTTGAACCTACATTTCATATCCGCAGGTGAACCTCTAGCCACTCCACACGGTGGCTCCCATTGATTGTCTATCTATAAATATATTGACATATAGACTGACCTTGCCCCAGTTTTTGGGGTCTAAAAAGGTATCCTGAGGTTGATCTGGGACATTAGGTATAGACAGAGAACCTGCATAAATCGACGGGGTCAACAGTTTGCCATCAGCAGATCTGAGCGGCTGATAATATCTAAAAAGTTAAACAGAACATTTTATTTTTAGCAGAATACTTTACTTTTTTTTTTTAAATCAAAAGTTTCTGAAAATATTAAAAATACACTGCAGTAGATGTCTTGGTGTGTTTGTATTTTTACTGTTTTGGCTTGTGTAGACAAATGTTCTCTGACAAATGAAATGATGACTCGCTTATGAATCTTCAACAACACTGCAGTACACCAAAACAATGATAGCAATGTTGTATATGTTACATTAGCTGACCAGATTATCCTCATTGTACATCATTGTATGTTCATGTCTTTGATAATGTGTGTGTGTGTGCATCTGCATGTGTATGTCTGTGAGAGTATTTGTGCGTCTGTGGGAGTGTTAGTATGTGTTTGTGTATGTCTCTGTGTGTCAGTGTGTGTGTGTGTCATTATGTGTCTGTAGGTGTGTATGGCTGCATGTGTATCTGTGTCTGTCTGTGGCTGTGCGTGGCTTTGTGTGTATCTGTGTGAGTCTCTATCGGTGTGTCTATTATATAATGTCTGCGTGTCTCTGCTTGTGTCGGGTTATGCATCTGCGTGTGTGTCTGTGTGCGTATGTGTGACTGTGCGTGTCTCTGTGTGTGTGTATGTGTGGGTGTTGCGTATGTCAATGTGTGTCTGTTTCCCTGCCTGTGTGTGTGTATGTGTTTGTATGTGTGTGTGCCCGTGACTGTATGTGTGTGTGTCTGTATGTGTCTGGGTTGTATGCGTGTGTGTTTTAGAGCGTGTGTATGAGTGTATGTATGCATGTATGTATGTATGTATGTATGTATGTATGTATGTATGTATGTATGTATGTATGTATGTATGTATGTATGTATGTATGTGAGTTTGTATGTATATATATATGTATGTATGTATGTGAGTTTGTATGTGTGTGTATGTATTATGTGAGTTTGTATGTATGTATGTATGTATATATGTATGTATGTATGTATGTATGTATGTATGTATGTATGTATGTATGTATGTATGTATGTATGTGTGCATGTTCGTATGTATGTAGATGCATGTGTGTACTGGGTGCTTATGTGTTTGTGTGTAAGTGAGTGATTTGGCTTGTGTGTGTATGAGAGTGTGTGTGTTCGCGCGTGAGCGTGCGCACATATTTTACCACCCATGCTTTTGTTTTTGACTTTATATATATAATATGCATATTATTACATAAATATAACATGCTTCATTGATGAAATACAACTGCTGTGCGAAAGATGGAAGTTTGGAAGGGCCAAATGTAAGACAGGCCTGCGTGCCTAATTTGTAACCCTTTGAAAATAAAGTTTGTTCGTTCGTTCGTTCATACCATTCAATACTGTATATGTTACAGAGTAATCATCCATGACTGAAAAATGTTAAACAAATAAAATGAGAATAAACACTGAAAAAAAAAAAGGAAGTAATGTCAGTATGTTCAATCAAGAATTGACACCATCACAGTATAAGTGCTCCATCCCCATCTTAAGCAGCAAACACAGTCCCATTTATGAATGGCTCTAGTAACAGAATGATTTTACACCCATCTCGCCTTTCTCTACAGTGCTGAGCAATGGCCTGATCCCCTCGACACTCCTCATAGCACCATTCTCCTCAGACTCTAATGGTTTATTTGTGCCTCCACATTGTTCACTTGCTCCCAAAGAAACCTCACAACATCCAGCTTCTCAGACTCTAATGGTTTATTTGTGCCTCCACATTGTTCACTTGCTCCCAAAGGAACCTTACAACATCCAGCTTCTCAGACTCTAATGGTTTATTTGTGCCTCCACATTGTTCACTTGCTCCCAAAGGAACCTTACAACATCTAGCTTCTCAGACTCTAATGGTTTATTTGTGCCTCCACATTGTTCACTTGCTCCCAAAGGAACCTTACAACATCTAGCTTCTCAGACTCTAATGGTTTATTTGTGCCTCCACATTGTTCACTTGCTCCCAAAGGAACCTCTACATCTAGTTCTCAGACTCTAATGGTTTATTTGTGCCTCCACATTGTTCACTTGCTCCCAAAGGAACCTCACAACATCTAGCTTCTCAGACTCTAATGGTTTATTTGTGCCTCCACATTGTTCACTTGCTCCCAAAGGAACCTTACAACATCTAGCTTCTCAGACTCTAATGGTTTATTTGTGCCTCCACATTGTTCACTTGCTCCCAAAGGAACCTCACAACATCTAGCTTCTCAGTGGTTTATTTGTGCCTCCACATTGTTCACTTGCCCCCAAAGGAACCTTACAACATGCTTCTCAGACTCTAATGGTTTATTTGTGCCTCCACATTGTTCACTTGCTCCCAAAGGAACCTTACAACATCTAGCTTCTCAGACACTAATAGTTTATTTGTGCCTCCACATTGTTCACTTGCTCCCAAAGGAACCTTACATCCAGCTTCTCAGACACTAATGGTTTATTTGTGCCTCCACATTGTTCACTTGCTCCCAAAGGAACCTCACAACATCCAGCTTCTCAGACTCTAATGGTTTATTTGTGCCTCCACATTGTTCACTTGCTCCCAAAGGAACCTTACAACATCCAGCTTCTCAGACTCTAATGGTTTATTTGTGCCTCCACATTGTTCACTTGCTTCCAAAGGAACCTTACAACATTTACCTCCTCAGACTCTAATGGTTTATTTGTGCCTCCACATTGTTCACTTGCTCCCAAAGGAACCTTACAACATCCAGCTTCTCAGACTCTAATGGTTATTGTGCCTCCACATGTTCACTTGCTCCCAAAGGAACCTTACAACATCCAGCTTCTCAGACTCTAATGGTTTTATTTGTGCCTCCACATTGTTTCACTTGCTCCCAAAGGAACCTTACAACATTTACCTCCTCAGACTCTAATGGTTTATTTGTGCCTCCACATTGTTCACTTGCTCCCAAAGGAACCTTACAACATTTACCTCCTCAGACTCTAACGGTTTATTTGTGGCCTCCACATTGTTCACTTGCTCCTAAAGGAACCTTACAACATCCAGCTTCTCAGACTCTAATGGTTATTTGTGCCTCCACATTGTTCAACTTGCTTCCAAAGGAACCTTACAACATTTACCTCCTCAGACTCTAATGGTTTATTTGTGCCTCCACATTGTTCACTTGCTCCCAAAGGAACCTTACAACATCCAGCTCCTCAGACTCTAATGGTTTATTTGTGCCTCCACATTGTTCACTTGCTCCCAAAGGAACCTTACAACATTTACCTCCTCAGACTCTAATGGTTTATTTGTGCCTCCACATTGTTCACTTGCTCCCAAAGGAACCTTACAACATCCAGCTCCTCAGACTCTAATGGTTTATTTGTGCCTCCACATTGTTCACTTGCTCCCAAAGGAACCTTACAACATCCAGCTTCTCAGACTCTAATGGTTTATTTGTGCCTCCACATTGTTCACTTGCTCCCAAAGGAACCTTACAACATTTACCTCCTCAGACTCTAATGGTTTATTTGTGCCTCCACATTGTTCACTTACTCCCAAAGGAACCTTACAACATCCAGCTATTCAGGCATCAAATTCACCATCAAGTCGTGCAGAACCAGCCAGTCTTATCTGCCTGTTAATTTCACAACAAACTGTCATCACACGGAGAAAATATCCAAAGGATGCTAACTACCCAGGCATTCTGAAAGAAAGCTTGTCACTCTGCACGGAGCATACTTGTCTCGACATGCTCTGCGAGTCAGTTACAACAACGTCAAATGTGCACAACTCGCTCTCAAACCAGCGTAAGGCTGCAGTGACCACCTCCATTCTTATTTTAGATGTTGTGGTATTATATGCCAGGCTCTATTGCACTAAGTGACATCCTTTCACTTTTGCTATGAACCCCTGTGCACTTTGTCGGCCATTTAACATAGAGCCATCTGTATAGATAATCGCATTACCTGTGAGGGAATTGTCATGAATCATTTGTTGAACTTATGATAATGCAGCACCGACTGGCCAGTCCTTGCATCACATCTCAATGTGATTAGAGCCTTACTCAAGTCTGATTATTGTTCAGACACTTTGACCCACTCCTCTCACTGCCAATATATTGTAAGGCCTGTGCACATGACTAACTGTGTCGTCAGCCTGCGTCATCCATGACCTTCCATTTTTTAGTCTGTGACCCTTAGCTCTACCTAGGGCTTCATGCGGGAGGTGTTTGTCTGCAGCTACTCTGAGATATCACTTTGCTTGCAGCATTTTGAGCCTGTTCATGGAGTTACACCAATAGGAATAGAGAAGCAGACCTTAAATATAGCAGTAGAAAGCAACAGTATTAAACAGGTTTAAATATCTAAGAACAACATTCACCAAAGATGGCAAATTAAATAACTAAATAATGGAACAGTTACACAGGTCTGAAAGCACTGCCCCCCCCCCCCCTTTTCCCATTTCTCCTTACACCATAAGACACACCCAATCAGCACAAAGAAACATCTCATACAAAACATGTTCAGACATGGTCACTCACCAAAAAAAAAAATTCAAAAAAAATTATAACATGGAAATGAGATGTTTGAGAAAGGCTGCAGGAATCACCAGAAGAAAACAGTAATGAAGTCTTAAGAAAAAAAATGTGACAGCCACAAAAGAACGAAGCAGAACCTTATATCTCCCTCAACATATGAAGCAGTAACAGAAGAAGCAGAGGAAGACAGAGTAGATCCAGATGTTTTTATTAATCTGCATAACAGTAAAGCCAAAACATTTCTTGAGGATGTGGTTTCACAGATGAATGCTTAAAATTTCAAGGAAAGTCGCAATGAATAATCTATGTGTTTTGAAGGAGGTGAAGATCAAAGGCTCTCCTTTCAGCTTAGGCCGTTAGCTGGACAGCCGCCGATCGCTTAGTGGGAGTTCTCTTCCTTGGCTGCATTGCAAACACGGAGCGGAAAAGTCACGAATCAAATGACATACTTACCTATCATCATACGGTTGCGTGTACGGTTGCGTAGTCATCATACGGTTGCGTAGGGTGTGGGTTAGGGTTAGGGGTTAGCGGCTTTAGGGGTTGGGTTAGGGCTAGGGATAGGGATAGGGTTAGGGTTTGTTAGGGTTGTTAGGTTAAATTTTGACGTAACAGTTCCAAATAATGGCCGACAATCTGATGCTTGTGGGAGTGGCGCCACTGGAATTCTCGCAAATATGACGGCAATAGCGCGCAGCTGGTGCCCAATCGGTGGCGAATTGTCCGTTTGAGTAGCATCCACAGTCCTTCGATTGTTTGGGTGTGTATGTGACTACGCGATTATAGGGAACTCCTGCGTCAAAACTGTCACATCTAACCCTAACCCTAATCCTACCCCTAACCCTAACTCTAACCCTAACCCTACCCCTAACTCTAACCACGCAAATTTATCGGTCATTAAAGCATACAGATCGGCAACAACAACAAAAACCCCAGATTTCCCCGAAGCGCCAAAAAAAAAAACACACCCAGATCTGGGGGAAACAACCATGCATTGGCAGCCCTGATGTCGACCTCACTGTCTTCTTTGATTCGTGACTTTTCCGCTCCGTGTTTGCAATGCAGCCAAGGGAGAGAACTCCCACTAAGCATTTGGCGGCTGTCCAGCTAACGGCCTAAGCTGAAAGGAGAGCCAGATCAAAAGACAACAGATCACAGGCAGTCATAACTGCATGTCCATGTTATGAGAAGAAAGAAACTGGAACATGTTATGAAAACTTGAAAGAGAGATAGATAGAGGAAGACAAAATGACAAGATTCCTGGGAGATTTGAGTCATTTTATGGAAGGGTGTCAGCTCATGAACTTATGCATGCTACTGGAGATTGCAAGTTGTGGAGAGGCATAAGTGCACATGCCAGACGCTGATGATAATTTATAGTTAAGACGTCTCTATTCAGTTCAACATGAATCTAATAAAACCATTTATAAACAATGCTTTATGGCAGGTAATCTACTCCTTTCTCAGCCATATGATATGCTGTGCAGTAATGTGCAAAGATAACAAATGGAAGTTTCAAGCTACCTTTAATTTGTATTATGACCTTTTTCATTTGCATATCAGATGGGCCCATTTCTCATGCAAGCTTGCTTTTTTTTTTTGGTTTTTAATGTTGGTTTTTGCACAAGCATCTGGCTATAAGATAGATCAGTGTGTGTGTGTCACTGCCGTAAGTGAAACTACAATGAAACATCGGTAACGTAAATCAATAGTTCATGAAAAAATCGGTGCCAGCAGTTGACTGAGATTAATATATTCCTCCTGTATTAACATTTTATTAATGGTTAACAGAGCTCTTAAGTGAGTTCATGTTAATGAAGTTTTACTGTACATTATTCCTTATGTTTGTGTAATTCAGTCCTCACATCTTTTCTCCAGTGCGCTGTAGTGGCGTACATTTCACCTTAATTTTAATAACTTCTTTCTTATTCATTATATTGCCTTAGAGATTTCTCCTCACTGTCTTTTTCTTTCTTCTTCAACAATCAACTTTTTACTATGCAGCACATGCCATGAACAGGAGAGTACCCTTGACGTTTTCACCAGTCCTTATCTATTTGTCTTGTGGCATAGCTGCCATGGGCCAGATTTCTGATCTGTGGCAAAATGGAGGCAGGTTGTGAGAGCTGCAAGAAACAGTTTCTGAGACACATCAGTGAAGGCGTACTGAGTTCACGGTGTCCTGTTCTCAGTCTGAAGATCCCAGTCTGCTTTATCATTCTGTGAACTCTTGCTCATTACACTAAACATGTCAAACTTTTCCCTAAAAATTATCCATATTTAGGAGTAAGCTGCCTGAAGCTGCAAGTAATCTGCTTCAAAATATTTAAAGTTACTGATGGCTCCCAGAGGAGAGCCATTCATAAAGAAATTGTAACCAGGTTTTTCTCCTTCAGCGAAGTAAAGTGCCCTCCCTATTTACACCAGTATGGCACTGGGCATATGATGCTTGACTCATATTTTTACAGACCAATCGATGGGTGATGTGGTCAACAACACGTCATTTGCCTGGACTTCCCAGGAATTTTACCTGCTCACCACTTTAGTCTGGGTTTAGCTGATAGCCAAGGTTATTTGCGAGAAATTATCTGAGATATTAGACCTTCGGAACCAGATCTGGAGCATCTAGCTGCTACCCCAGGGCAGTGTGATGGTAGTACTAATTATTATGTGCAGTCTATTCTCACAAGCAGATAATGATGTATTAAATATGTACTCTGGGTTGAAATGCTTCCCTAAATGAAATAATAAAAAGCACTATCAAACTGTAAAAAGAGGTAATTTAAATTATAGTTTTAAAAAAAAACATACCTTCTTTTAATTGTTTTTGTAGTTGTCAAATTGATATTTTCTATACGCACAGGAAATATCTGCCAGCCTGTGATAATTTTCCCATCTAGTGTGACATTTCCTATAATACCCTGTTGAAACAAACAAGAGTATTTTATCATAACAGACTGTTCATTATTTCAATTTTGGTGGATAATTTATTTTATTGTCCATCAGACCTGGGCCTGGAGACCCATAGGAGACGACTCAACTGATCCATCAGCCAAACAAACAAATTGCTAAAAAGACGGTTAAGCCGATCCATCGGTCTGATAATACAAGCTTTGAGATTGACTGGCAGGTTTTTGTACCAGGGAATCAGATTGCTTCTCACAATTCTTGCACATGTAGGCTGTTGTGTTCTGTAATTTAACATCATTTTTTGTGTGTGCACGTTACCTGTGCTCAACAATGGTGAAAAAGACTGTTGCTTCACAGCAACCAAAACACAGCAGGAGGCAGGAAAAGGAATAGAACCATGTGCCAGACGGATCTGCAGGGCCTACATGGGTTTTAGGACTTATCTGGGCTTCATTAAACAGAAAATTTAGCCAAATTGTTTGATTCAGTTGTGTTTGTCCTAAGTAATTTTAAAAAAAATGCATGCATAAATATGCAAATTCAATAGCTAATTTGAATAAATGTTGAGGTGTCAGTTGTGTTAGTTTAATCATTCAATTTCCTGCAAGAATTATATAGTTTTGTTTATGTTAATTAAACAATTTATTTTTTATAATTTTATATGCGTAAATTAAGAGAATTCCATCCTACTCCACCCCCACCGCAGATTATGTGAATTTGTTTACTTACACAGTCAGGATTCATTTCCATTGTAGAACATCAATGATGATATTTTTTCTTCTTCTTAGCGCAGACCGGCTGTAAACTCTGGGGGAAAGTTCTGGTTCTTCATCCACTTCTGGACCTCAGTCGTCCTAGAACTTGAGTTCCGAGTGCACATCCATTTTCCAGATCTGGCTTTCTTGTATGCAGACTGATGGTTCCTAGCTTCTTAGGTAGATGCCTTTTGACTTTGGAGGAAAAGTCCAGAATTACCGGCCTTTTATTACTTGAATTTTAAGGAAGCAGTGGGTCTATCCCCCCCCTCCTCTTCTAAAAAAAATGGGGCCCCAAAACCTACATGGGATAAGGATGAAATCAATCCATGTGATCTCGCACACTGAACTACTATTCAACCTGTATGAAAACGACAAGAACTAGTTATACAGTTCATTAAGTTCATTAAACAGTAACAGATGAGATGATTTGGCCATCTGAGATCAATGCCCTTGTATCACCTGTCAGAGATTTACTCTGAAGAAAATGCAGTGAACACAGAACAAGGGGAAGGCCATGCAAAAGAAAAGACAGCATCAGGAATAGCCTTAAAAACATAAAGACCAACTTAAGTAACACATTAGAAAGAGCACACAGATGATCTTACATCTCTTCCACAAATCTTGATGAGTGAGGTTTTGGAGGAAGAGAAAAGAAGAAGAAGATGATGAAAACTACCTTTGTATTGAAGTTCATGTTTGTACTAAACCCAACTCTGCCTTGATTCTCTACAAGTATATCCACAACCTGACCCGGTGTCCCTGTAATAGTCACTTCAGTTGTGTCTCGGTCAAGTATTCCAAAGGGAACCTGCAAGTGCAAATTTTCAACATTAATCAAAGAAATTATGCATTTATTATTACTCTGTCTAAAGGAAATGTAAACTACAGGACAAGTGTCATTAGGCATACTAGGCATATTAGTGCTGGACTTAAAATTTATAGACTACTCTGTACTTGGTAGGTGATGTAGTCACCATCACACTGGCCACCTCTCTCTTCCTCTCATCCTTTTGGATGTGCAAAATGGTGCTCTGAAACCAGTACCGTTGCACTTCAATTCCCAGGATCACCAAGGTGTCCTCGACATGGAGGTGACAGCCATTAAATCCAGCCAGTCCGCAAGTCTTTTGAGAATTGCTATATACTCTGGGGACTTAAACACCCTCCAGACTGATTTGCCAACACAGTTTTCATTTAAACTCCCAGGGGATTAAACTGCCTTCAACAGTTATGGCCCCTGGTACTCCACAGGGGGTATTTATTTCCCCAGCCGACACGTGTAGTCATTAAACTGTTCCTGTCCTTTTTAGGATGAATTTTTTTCATTATTTGAAGCCCCACCCTGGCTCTTGCCAGGGGCCGCAATATAGCCAGGCCATAAATATGGCCAACTGGCTGAACGCGGTTTCTGGGACATCTCCACGGTGATCCTCATCCACATGGTGGCACTTTGTGTCATCGGGTGTTTATCGCTTGTGTGATGTCCTGGTGGGGTAGAAAGTCAGTCAGTCAGTCAGAAGTGAAGTCATTCTGCTGAGAAACAACCAACCCGGCTGCTTCAAGATACCAGCTAAGTGATTTTAAGTATCTGTGTAGTATTGTTTGATTTGTATGTGCTGACGAAGGCTCAATAGCCGCAAGGTTCACGTTTTGTTTGTATTTGTTATATTGTAAAGCTTGCTAATATACTTTTCTTTCGGTTTTATATCTTCTCTTCCTGTCATACATCCATCCTTGAGGGATCCACATCAAATTCCTTGTTCACACATTCTTTCATGTTGTTTCATCTAACCTCATGTCTTCTATCAGGAATTCATTCACAAATGATCTTCAGAATGTCTCCTTTGTCCAATATGAGTGTTCCTGTAGCTACCACTTTTGTAGCAAGAAAATCAGCTTTCATTTCTTTGCACTCCTGAATGTCCCAGACAGCATATCCTCATGTCCCTGTAATATTGACACACTGATGCTTGGTATCCACTCATGCCCATTTTGCAACTTTGGCAGTATCAACTGAGAATTAGACACTATAAATTCTCTGATAACTTTTTTCTTTTACTATCCACTTTAGAGCTATAGTGACTGTCTCCACCTCCATCCTCAGGCTTGAAGTTGTACATAAAATAGCACCACTCTGTTCTGTCATGATCTTTCCTGACATGTTTTTTCTTCTTCATATTTTGGCACAATTCAGCTACATTGTTTATCTACCTCTTTCTTTGGATTTCTTCACTCCTGATTGTAATTTCTTGGTAACAACATAATTAAATTGTCATTAAATATGCATACCAGTTTACTGCATTACACATGAGAACTTACAGCATTGACCATTACGACAGCCCGGTCCCTAATCCCAATGGATCTAAGAACTGACGGCTTGGAGAACACTGAATTTAGAACAAATCTGTACAGGATGAATGCTGAATACTGTAACAGAGAGAAAATAGTAAGCACACTGACATAAGTTTCAACACATTTCTAACATTCAATAAAAAGAATGTACTTAAAGTTAATATTTCTTTGCGTAACCCAATGATGATTATAAAATAAAGGACCCTTTTCCATGCATTCAGGCATATTGGGCATATAGGGCTAGACCTATACTTTATAGAACAATCAGCACTCGATGGGTGATGTGGTCAACATCATGCCAACCACCTTTACTTCCCAGGACTTTACCAGGTATCCATTTAAGGCTGGGTTGATCTGGGAGTCGTCATTTTTGAAAAAAGTCAGGCTCTGTTTAGATTTGAACCCCATGACCTTCATATCCGCAGGTGAGCATCTTGCTGCTACACCAGGGCAGCTCCTAACAATAAATATTATGCACAAAATATTTTTTTTTTAAACCTACAAGCTGTTAATAACCAAGATCCTACATCTGTGCATACCAAAACAAACTTAATTTAATAAAGGAGATAGTAAATTGTTGAACTATTCTTGTAATTAAATTAATATAATTCATAATGCTCATTAAATTATGTTATTTTCAGCATCACTATCATCCTGTTGGAGGTCGTTATACAACTCACAGTTTACTCTTCACTGTAAGTTTATTTTGTGCCAATTCTTCAATATTATAAATGGAGTCCAGTCCAGCACCTTTGGTCTCTCTCATCAAAGTGCCACTTAGGATTTTATTTTATTTTCAACATGAACCCTTTTCTTGACATATTACTTTAATGAATATACATTTTATTCATAATTGCTTTCACAATGTCTTATCTCTGTACTATGAACAAATTCAGATATACTGATTGAAACTCATTTAGAGGAAGGGAAATAAATCAAAGGACACATTAGTCAGCAGAAAAACTAAAAGATAAATTAGCATCAGGAGATCTACCATGGTGCAGCGGATAGATGCCTGTCTATGGATCTGAAGGTTATGATATTGAAATCCAAATCGAGGCCGGACACCCCCCCCCCCCACAACTCAGACTTAAACGGGTACCAGGTAAAATCCTGGGAAGTAAAGTATCCAGACCCCCCCCCCCCCCCCCCCCCCACATATCTCAATATCATGACAAACAGCAATAAAGAATTTCAAATGATATTTCTATATTTGCTACAGCATTTGTTTCAAGAATGTTTTTAATATTAAAAACAATTTTGGTTTGAATCAATAAAGCGTTTAAAAAAAATTAAAATTGGCTGCATAGCATGAATCTTGAACACTTTCTATCCATTGATTTGGTGTACATTTTGAGAAACTGTTGTTTTTCTAATTCCTTTTATTCTTCTGATTTGTTTCACTACCTAATTTTTTTCTTTTTTCACTTGCCTTGGAATTTTTCTTTCAGTGTATTTTCTAAATGATGGTATCACAATCTGTTTTATCATGGCCAGATATGTATTCAAAGTCATGAAAAATAAAACAGCTCTTGTTTCACAAGTTGTTGATGTGTATTAGTTCTTCTAAATGAGCACTTAAGACTGCTATTCCTTCAAAATAGTGGCCATAAATGAAGCCAGCAAGTTATACTGATTCTAAAACAAGATACTCTATGGGGGTATTGATAACCTGTAACTGACTGCTACTTATACCTTGTTTATTTTGCAACTGTAATTATCTGTCTTCACCTCGCTGTTTTATCTCGGTCTATTTTATATACAGAACAACAACAATCACAATAAAAAAAACGGCAGATTTAGAAAAATTACTATAAAGAAGAAGACACTGGAGAAGTAATGTATACCAGACCTAAAAACAACTGGAGTCACCAACTGAAAAGGGAAGGCAATCACAGAACTAATAAATGAATGAACTTTATTTTCAAAGGGTTAACAATGGAACACACAGGCCCATCTTACATTCTGCCTTTCTGGCCTCACTCCTTGCATACATTAATCCACCCACACAACACTTAAGTAGCTTATAATAATATTAGAGATGAACAGAGGCAGGTAATAGCTGCAGGAATCAACCTTAAGGGCTCAAAATGCTAAAGAAGAAGAGGAAAAAATAGACTCTTAAGAATAAATTATAAACAGGAATTTGGGGTAATTATTTTACACATGACAGATAGACTTACAAAATTTAACTGCTCCATGGGAACTGGATAAGTAACACTAACAGGGCCATTTGGTGTGAGGTAGCTCAGAGCATCCTGAATTGTACATACCTGTAAGAAGTGATATCAGACAAGAGAAACTGTATACATACAGACTGTAATATGGTAAAAGTAAAGTATTTTCATGGATAAGACAATATGTTGTCCCCAAGGTTTGTAAGTTTCAAACTTTGTATGTCTCTCTCTGTGAATGTCCTTCTCTCTCTCTCTCTCTCTGTCTCTCTCTCTCTCTCTCTCTGTCTGTCTCTCTGTGTGTCTGTCTCTCTCTGTGTCTTTCTGTCTCTGTATTTCTCTCTCTCTGTCTCTAACTCTGTGTGTATGTGTGTGTGTGGTGGTGGTGGGGGGGGGGGGGGGGGAGGATCTCATACATGGGATGAATTTAAAATATTTATTTCCTAATTTTGGGATGTTTAAAAAAAAAAAAGTTGAGGTCGTCTTACACATGGGAAGACCCATCGTAGAGGGAAAATATGGTAATTGTAAAATGGTAACTACAAACATGTTTCATACAGATCCTAACCACTACATGTGAATACACACTTTACCAGGTAATTCTGGTGTACATATGTGATTCTGGTGTAAATGTGATTCTGGTGTACATATGTGATTCTGGTGTATATGCAATTCTGGTGTACATCTGTGATTCTGGTGTATATGGTAAATACACATGTGTGATTCTGGTGCAGGTGTAATTCTGGTGTACACATGTGATTTTGGTTTTCACATAAAATTCTGGTGCACATGAAATTCTAGTGTACATATGATTCTGGTACACATGTGTGATTCTGGTGTTGATCTGTAATTACATAATTACAGTGTACCTGTGTAGTTCTGCTGGTGTACTTGTTTGATCGTGGTATACACATGTGACTGTTGCTAAACATGAAGCGGTTAAGTCAACTAAAAAAAAAAAAACGAATGACTGTTATTAAAATTATTTAAATTGTAATTGTATAATATAATCATACTGTAACATTTAAAAACATACAAATTCCATGGTTACGTCCCCGTATCTGGACTTCTTTGCATTTGGAGGTACAGGTATGTCTGGAAGTGGTAAATACTGAAAAACAAAGCAATTTAAGACACTAAATTAAGAAAAATGTTACTGACATTTGGAGCTGACAGATGTTTATATAACCCAGAAAATCAACTGAACAATTTGTAAACTGAAAAATAAACCTCTTTTTCTTAAAGTCTATGATGTGTGGTGTTGGTAGCCATGATATCCACAACCTTCTGTTTTATTTACTTTCAATCAACTCTGACAAAGATGATCCTGCACACCATGATGTCAAACTGTCCAGCATCTTTTCTCTCGGTCTCTCTCTGGCTCTCCTTCATTCCAATTTTCATAATCTTACAATGTACTCCAGTTTTCTCCTTCTCATCCCATGACCAAAGAATGTAGATTGTATCTTTCTGATGTGGACAATCTGTTGTTCTCTTTATGAATCAGTTTCTTTCAAGTCATCCTCATTATTCTTTTATCTGTCCAGGGTATTATCATTCGTCTATAAAACCACATCTCTGCAGCTGAAAATGAAACAATGATACAATTAAAAAGTATGAGTAGTTAACTGCAAATACAATAGATCTAGTTTGCTAGTTTTAACACTACACATCTTGGAAATAGTTTTCTGAGTGAAAACCAGCTGTGACAGCCCATGGCTTCTAAAACTTTTCAGCCCAGAAACCTTTGAGTGATAAAAATCTATAATTCGAGGATATACTAAAAAATCCTTTAAAACAAACACATCTTACACAACCATTATTTAAATTTAAACATTTTAGACTCTGTTAAAAAATATTTTTAAAAATATATAAATAAAGGTGAGTAATCATGAAATACGGATGGAAAAGAAAATTCAACAGATTTTACTCCATTGGGTCTATGAAATTAGTTAAAGTGACTCATACCCGATCCTGTGACCTTGTTCCTATACCACTACTAAGGTAAAGTATGACAGCACAATAGCCGTAAAAAAGCTACTTTTAACAATACGATCCCCCTAAATGCTATTTTTAGTAAACATAATCATATCCGAGACCCCTTACACATTGTGCAAGATGCAAACAGAATCACTGCTGTTAATTTGGCTTCTCAGGAACAAGTCGTAGCCGCTGTGCCAGCTTTGTGGCATTTATGGGGATTTATAACAGATGGATATGCCGGATTAGCAGCATTATAGGGCTAAGAGGTTAACAAGTCTAAATGGATGGCGATGATTATGATAAACAGGACGCATGCAAATTAGGGAAGCTGAAAATTTCTTTAAGATACACTCTAAACTTGCATTTTAAAAACAATATATAATTTCTCACTTTCTCTCAATATTACACTTGCATCAAAGATAGTCTTACAGCCGATACGGTCACTGGTATAAAATGTAAGCACTATACATAATTAATATGAGCTGTCAGTGACCATTTCCTTCTCAATTGACTTTTCTTCCCTGATTATTGTCTGGTAACCATTTCTTTAACTCTTTAAGACCCGAGCAATACTGTGAGTGTTGATTAAGAACTTTCAATTTGCCCAAACAACACTGTGAGCATCAATCATGTGTCCCATACATATTGCTTTGCACCCGGCTGCGTATTTGTTTCTAATGTTCAGGCTACCATTAGAGTATTCAGGGAAGGTCACTCTAACATTTTCCTGTGAATAACATTCCATTTTCCAAGACATGTGGGCAGTTTGATCCAATTCACAGATAGCTAGCATTAAATTGTGCATTTTCTAAGTTTTTTAGTGCCATGGTTACCAACGTTCCAAACACAAGTACAGGCCACAAAATGTGTCTTTCTGCTACCAAAACTTAGAAATGGTTTCAGTCAGATGTTTATAATTCTGAAAATGATAATGAAAATTTAGATTTTTCCTAAAGTGATTGAGACGGTGAATATACACCAGCAGCAGCTGAGCAATCAGATGTTTGGGGAATCTAGCGATTCCGATGAGTTTACCCAATGCCAACTTATTTAGAGTGTGAGAGAAGGAAAGTGCTCCAAACAAATAGATAGTACTATACTATGCCTAAGCATTTAAATTATTGCAGCTTCAGTCTGTATATAACTGTACAAAGTAATAGTAAACAGTGTGTGTGTAATGGCCCATTTCTCTTTAAAAACATATATACTTTTGTAGGGATTAGAAGTATATTACATTCTCTATTGCTTTTTTTGTACACCACCCCTTCTGCCATTTTTGTAACTTGATGTGGGCCAAATCTGTCAAAATTCATGGTCATCCAGCATCAGAAACAAAACTAATTCTGAAATGGGACAGATTGGAAATATGGATGAATTGCCTGTGACTTTTAATGTTCCTTCGAATAGGGATGTCGCTACAAAAGGCGAAAGAGTGTCACTATTAAGACTAGTGGCCATTAAAAATCACACTGCACCATATTTCTTACTTCCTGCACCTTTTGTCTTGCTTCCTGCACCGTATGACCCTATGCTGGTACTGATAATTATCCTCAAAGACAAAATATACTTAAGGAGAAAATACCGGCAGGAGTGGTAGTGCATGCATGCATGACAGAAAAAAAAAAAGATGAATGGATGAACATTGTATGAAAGTGTGAACTGATAAAGTGTGCCGAAGAAGGAAAGGTGTCCTCCTAAAGAAGAGTGCTCTCCTTTTCTCAGATCAGTTTCGACCACATCTACTGGAAACTGAAACAAAAATTCCAAGACTGTAACACTGAATTGTCTGTCACATCAGGAGGACTAACTTCACAACAGCCTCTTGACATTTTGTTAAACAAACCATATAAGATGTTGGGAAAAGAAGAGTGGAATAAGTGGATAATGGATAGCAGTGTGCATCAGCTGACTCCGAAGGGAACATTTAAATTACTAAAATTTGTTAATGGATCAAAATATCCTGGTCCAAGGTCAGTGAGAAACCTGTTGTGAAATATTGTTGGATGTATGCTATCAGCAACACCCTAGATGCAAGTGAGGATCATTTTCTCTATGAAGATGAAAATTCCTTTTGGGGTGGCAAGTTAACTGGATTCAATGAGGAAAAGATGCAGATGACAGCATTGGGAATGAATTCAAAAGCTTCTGAAAGTCAGTGAATAATTTTTAACATTAGTTAAATTTTTCTTGAAATTAGTTATTTTCTGGAAACTTTCTTTAAGTTGTAGAGTTGCGCTTTATACAAGGAAATTTCTTATATACCAATAAATACAGTATGTAAATATACAAATTTCATACACAAAAACACACACACACAATTTTCTGAACAACTTTGATTCAAACAGAAATCACTATATACCTTAGAAACAATATCTCTTATAGCAAAGTATTTGAGTGTGACATCTCCTGCCTCAGTGATGGGAGCATCATAATCGTAACTAGTAGGTACAGGCTGGTAGGGTGGACTGTTGGCACCTGCAGAAAAAAAAAAGAGCCAGATGCTAATTATTTAACCTGCTTGACAAATTCTAACCCAGGGAGTCTGGAATACATTAATTCGTAACAGCACTTTATTTATTTACTACTTTACTTTAAACCTAACCATAAATGAAAAGTAACACTATAGCCTACCAAGCATGTCCTATGAGGTTACTAAGGAAGGTTGACATAACTATTGAATACTTAAGCTGCAAAACTCCACCAATTATCAACAAGAGTACAAAGGACATGGTGAAGTTAGTCAAGGGCCTATGCTCTATAGGAAGATGACAAGAAGAAGAACAAAAGTGACCGTCTGTTCTTCTTCAGTCACATTTAATTATCATTTCCTTTTGAATACAGCTGTAGCAGATAGGGCAATGGTATATGAGCTCAGCAGTCAACACTCAATTCTGTGTTCTGGACTTCAAACAACCATGGGGGACAACTCTAATTTGGTAAAATTGGTACCAGAGATGTTTCTAAAGGGAGGGGGAGCAGCACGGAAAACAAAAGATTTTTTTTCATCTCATAACACAAATGGGCTAGTGTGTGTGGAATTTCCTCCAACCCTTATAGCAGTATCTGAGGGAACATTTATTAGTATCATTCCCTAAGTCGGTTCCAGGGCCTCATTGTGGGGAAACAGAATGAATAGAGCCACTGCCTCCCCTAACAAGGATGTCTAAGGAGTTGACTAATTAGGGGTTCCCTGGAAGTCAGACAGCATCTGCCCAAGAACCAATAGTAATACTAATAAGCCAGATCTGTAAAAATAAATGTGCATGCAAATCCAGGTTCTGAAATAAGATGAAAAGTCAAGAAGTGGATGAATAACCAGAGCTTTCCTGACAGCAAACATGAAGAAGAATAAGATCATCATTATTTGCCATGCTGATAAGTGTAGGCTGTCATGTTTTGCCATCTGACACGATCATCAGAATCTCAGATCAAGTCAGTGTTCTCCCCCTCTCCACCCCCTGCAAATTTGGGCAGGTATTTTATCTCTTTGTCTTCCTCTTGCTCTCTTTCTATTAATCTTGTCAGCTGTTACCAAGTTATGAAGTCTATTCCTTGTCATTACATGTTTGAAAAACACCGACTGTCTATGTCTAATTATCCTAAAAAGTCTACGGCTTTCATCAGCCTTGATAAAGACTGCCTCATTTATTTTCTATATATTCTGTGGTATTCCTTGAATTCTTCTCTAGAATCAGGTCTCTGCGTGAGCAATTTGTTCAGCCTGTCTGCTTACTGTCCATGTCAGAAAATATTGCATGCAGGCCATATAGCTTAGCTGCTTTCTTTAAACAGTTCTAACAGAATGTTCATAAATGAAAGAAGTAACAAGAACTGAGTTGAGTTGAGGTGATTTAAGAACTGACACCACAGCATTCGGGGTATTTCCAGAAGTGTTCCATCCCCATCTTTAGCAGCCAGCCGAGAGTTCAATATTGTGGCACCAGTAGTTGTCTGATTATATATCCGTCTTGCTTTGCTTCTGAGTGTTGGGTATCGGCCAGATGCCCTCCTGACTCCTCGCTGCATCACTCCCACCAGACTGTGATTATCAATCAACAGGTACTATAAACAGCAGGATGATGTTGCTTACCGTTTAGGAATCCAAAGTTTGTTCCACCCACAAACATGTACCTGGATAGGAGATGGAGATGTATAAGCTGGAGTCTATGTAATGTTTTAACAGTGATACAAGAGAACACAGTGATACAAGAGAACACAGTGATACAAGAGAACACAGTGATACAAGAAAACACAGTGATACAAGAGAACACAGTGATACAGGAGAACACAGTAATACAAGAGAACAGTGATACAAGAGAACACAGTGATACAGGAGAACACAGTGATACAAGAGAACAGTGATACAAGAGAACACAGTGATACAAGAGAACACAGTGATACAGGAGAACACAGTAATACAAGAGAACACAGTGATACAAGAGAACACAGTGATACAGGAGAACACAGTAATACAAGAGAACAGTGATACAAGAGAACACAGTGATAGGAGCATGAAAAGAAACAGAGTAGATGCAACAGAGAAAGAAAGAGAAAGAGAGAGAGAGACAGAGGTGACTTTTTTCCTAAAGGTCACAAATTTGACACTGTCTTATATTTGGTGCTTTCAAACAGTCAACTTTTATACGACAGTTGTATTTTATAAATCAAGCGCATTATGTTCATATATCAAAATTCATAGTATGAATGTAATTAAAAATAAAAAAGTACAGATGGCAAATGTAGACCTTCAAATATACATGAAAAAATCAACACACACACAAATGAAGCAGTAGAACAGACACACAAATATACACAAACACACTTCGTCACAAGGAGGTGCACACACTGACAACATACACATCAACACAGCACATACTTACAGACACAAATCACACACAGGCTCAACACATACCTACAGGCATAATTCATACTCACAGACACAACACATACACTAAACATAGACAGACCCAGCACAGATACAACACATATACACAGATAAATCACATATGTACGCGCATACACACATATACAATCGCTGCACATGCATGTGCACACACTGAAAAATGAAGGTCAGGTAGAAAAAAATGCCTTGAAACTACCCAAATAACTAGCTGAGAGAATTCACAGGATATTTTGTATTCTACTGCCTCAAAGACTATAGGAGCATTAAAGTATAAATAAGTAACCCCCATTTACATATGACATTTCAGAGATATTATATTAGGTCTTTTTCTTCCACCATCAAATGGCGTAAGCGGGGCAATATGGTCAGGATAATGCAATAGCAAATGCTAACCATCACATTAAAAATATAAAGAAGGCAATTGAAAAAAAAAAAACATCAATTGACTGAGTAATTTAGAGATGTACAGTAAATAACTCACATGTTTACATTAGCACCAGATGCCAATATCATATCCAAATACTTGCAAACTGAAGTTGAGTCCCCTGTCGAATGAGGATCGCCCCAGTGATCCAGCCAACCAGTGTAAAATTCTGAATTCACCTTGACAGTTAGACACAAAAACAATGAGAAATCTTGATCCTATGGTAAAATGTATGCATCATAAAAAATAGATATTTGTAACGGAGATTTAGTGAATGACATCTTGTTACTGCATAGCCTTTCTTCCTAGCCAACTCTTCCATTGTTATGGCATAAGCCAGTTTTCTCCTTGTCATGATGTGTCCAGAGAATATACGTATATATTTATACATATTTATGACTTTCTATCTCCAAAGCTATTATGACCATATCACATATACATATAGACTGTCTTCTTCTGATGCGTGCAAAACAGTTATCTTTGTGAATTTCTTTCTTTCAAGACATCTTCATCATACAGTTTCTTTGTCCCTAGCATTTTCAAAATTATGTTATAAAACCACACTATTCAGCTTCCACGTAACTGCCCATAGTTGGCTTCTATACACTGGATATAAAGTTAAAAATAATTACTATCTGCAACTCAAATCTGCACTAAGGTGAATTTTTTTTTTCAAAATGATTTTGGGTTCCAGGTTGACCCAGCTTCTAATGGTTACCAGGTAATGTCCTGGGAAGAAAAAGTGGCTAGTATGATGCTGACCACATCATGTTTTGATCATTAACAGATGGTAAATTGCTTGTTAAAAAAAAGTTATACACGCCCTCCTCGACTTATGACGACCATCTATACTCACTCACTCACTCACTCACTCACTCACTCACTCACTCACTCACTCACACACACACACTCACACTCACTCACTCACGCAGGCACACACGCACGCACACAAACACACACACACAAAGCAAAGAAAACGATTACTAACTGAAGAAAGATAACTACACTAGTAGGGTCTAAATGTTCCAATACATATGCATTTGTTCACATTATGTATAATTAGTATATGTACATAGACTGAATTTCTGTGTTTTAAATACAGTTCCTGATGGTACCAGTAACTGTCTGATTGTATATCCATCTCGCCCTTCCCATGAGTGCTGAGCATCGGCCAGATCCCCTCTGCAACGTCATTTTCCTCAGACCATAATGATCTGTTTGTCACTCCGCATTGAATACTCGCTCTTAAAGGGTCCCTTAACATCTTTAGCTTGTCACACATCAATTCACCACCAAGTGGTGCAGAACTGGCCAGTCTATCTGTCTGTCTATTTCCAACAACACTGGCATGACTTAGAACAAATATCTAGAGAACGCTAACTACCCAGTGTCCCAGTGACTGCCTCCACTCTCAAAACTAGACATTTGTGATATCACATGTCAGACTTTGTTGCGCTGAGCGACATCCATTTGCTTTGGCTATGAACCCCCATGCACTTCATCTGCCCCTCAATACAGAGCCATCTATATAGATAATCACATCACCTAAGCAGGAATTTTCACGAATCAATTGTTGAGCTTCTGATAATCAAAAAACAAGACCAGGAAACAATGTATCATGAAAAGATATCAAACCAAATGACAGCAGAAACAGTCAGATTCACATTATCACAAACACAAATGACAAGTGAACGTTGGAGATAGACAGCCTTCATAAGCACATGACATAAATACACAATACCACAAACACAAACAAGAGTACACAACATCACTTCACTGAAGTATCTCTGAAAGAAACCACACGTCTTTTTAATCTAGGAAGTTGTAATAATTACCATATCACACAACAATAGAGATGAGATGACAGAAGAGCAGCCAGAGTAACAAGAGATAATTTAAAATGAAGAAGTCAGAAGAAAACCAGGAAATAAAACTAATCGTAGAATTCCTTTTTTTTTTTTTTTTAACGTATCCAGAAACCATGAGTTGTAAACCCTTTGGCTCGGTACTATGGATATCGCAACCCTTCGGCCTTGATTCCATTATAGGTACCGTTAATCTGAAAGAAATGTGGCTTTTCTGCCTACCCCCGGGAGTGAACCCGGACCACACGGAGTTCGTCACCCGGCCGCCGCGAAAGTCAGGTTTAACCAACTTCGCTAGAGAGCCGGGCGTACAATTCCTTAAAAAGCAGAAACTGATGAAACTGCCCTCGTATCAATTGCCAAAGAAAGCCAAGCTGAAGAAATATAATGAACACAGGAGGGGAAGATCATGTGAAATAAGGAAGGGTGGCATCAAGAGCAACCTTAAAGAAATGAAGATCAACTATACATTGTACTGAAAAGAGCACACGGAATATTCTAACATCTCCCTCCAACACACTGATGAGGTAATTGGAGAAAATGAAGAAGAGGAAGTCGTCCATCAAGTGCTAAACCAAGGCTATTTAACTGGCCACTCAGGAGGCCTAGCAAGTGGCAAACAGATCACTGCCAGCAGGTTGTATTAATGATCTTTCTATGCTGGGGATCAGGCCTCTTGTCTGTGACGATCTCTGTTTTCAAAATTATGGCCCCTGAGTAAACTTGGCTGAATAGCCCCAGGCTTAAACAATTTGGAACTAGCACAATATACCCAATATGCAGAAACAAGTTCTTTAAATGTTACTTACTGAGATTAGGAGAAAGTGTGATTTACTACACAACTTAGTTTCTGTTAAAATCCCCAACCCTACTAAAAAAAAATGAGCCAGATAACTAAACAAGGGTCAGACACTGAAACCTATCAGCCACATTTCCCCCCTTCCTTTTGGTTTTATTGCTGTAAAATGTTTACACAATGCTTTAAAAAGAAGAAAAAAGTAAAAGATCCTTTGAAAGCTTTTAGCGCATCAGGCATAAAGTGCTAGACTTGTATTTTCACAGACCAACTGGCACATAATGGACGTTATGAATAACATCTTGCTGGTCATCCTTACTTGCCAGGAACTTATCTGATATTTATTTTCCGTTAGGTTGACCTGGGAAATAAGGTCATTTTTAAAAAACAAATCTGCATTTAGGTGGATTTGAAAACAGAATGTTTAGATCATAAAATGATACTATTTGATTCCGAGAGACAAGGTTACCTTTGGGCCTTGTGGTTCAACGAATTTCTGTGCTTTAAAACAACCTTCAGGATCATCTGAAATAATTCAGATCGACAATGTACATTGTACAAACTCTAAATATATAAACACATGTTAGTCATTTCATAGTGCATACTAAACTGTATTTGTTATTAAGAAAACACCAACTGATTTTAACAATGGTATGAAAAATACTGAGGGTACAGAAGACATATTCTGTCACTTATCAGTTAGCCCCACTGCTTAGACATGCAAATTCCTCCCTTCCAGTAAAACAGCAAATGATTAATAGTATCTTCATGCCTACTTTATGCTATCAATGCCAAAAACAGACAAAGAATAGGGCACTAGAACAAAAAAAAAATAACTACATGTGAAATGTGCTGTCGGTGACAACACATGAAGGATCAGGGTTATGAATACCAGCATTAGAGAGAAAGTTGGAATAAGACCATGTCTGGATTATATTGACAGGCAAAGAATAAAATGGTTCAGCCATCTAGTTTGAATGCAGCCAGATCAACCAGTATACAGAACTTCTGGGAGGAAGGTGAGGGGAAGACCAAGAAAGACATGGATAAATGGTGTTGCTGAAACCTGTACAAAGATGAACAAATCCACCACCGAAGAAGTGCAAGACAAATACAAAAAAATCATAACAATGGTCAACAACCTGTTATCAGTGAGACAACAAAAGAAAGAAAGATTAAAAATAAAATGGGTTGAACTGCATTATCTTTACATTCAGTGGTAAAATAGACAGAGAGATCGAGGCAAGAATCCAACAAGCCAACAATGTCGCATAACAGCTTGCCCCAATTTTAAAACACCCTGCTGTCCCAGCTGAGATAAAAAGACAAATTATAAATACAATCTTTATACCGGCATTAGGTTATCAATGTCAGACTTGGACATTAACAAAGGAACACGAGAGAAGACTAACCACCTGTGAAATGAGATGTTTGAGAATGGCTGCGAATAAAACCAGAAGAGATCGAGTGAGAAACGATGTGATTACAAGAACTATTGGAACCATACCCATTGTTAAATATATTGAGAAGCAAAGAATGAAATGGTTTGGTCACCTAATGAGAATGGAACCAACGATGCCAGCATCAAGAGCATACAACATGAAAATCGAAACACCAAGAGGCAGGGGAAGACCAAGAAGAAGATGGATTGAAGGAGTCACGGACAACTTGAGACTTCATAACATCACGGCATTTGAAGCGACTGAGCGCGCCCTGGCTCGGTTGCCGATCATCTGATAGACTGTGACGCCTAGCGGCACAAGCAGATTTTGACAAAAGAAGAAGAAGAACTGCATTAAAGGTTTAAACAATCTTCTTCTTTACGTCCTCTTTTACCGCTTCGGATTTTGAGGGAGATATAAGGTCCTGCTTCATGCTCTTCTGGCTGCTTTAACCATAGACACACTGTGGTGCTTTAGAGTTTTTCTGATGTTATCTTATCATCTTGTTCTTGGTCTACCTCTTGCTCTACATCTCTCTCCTCTTTTGTCTTATGGTATATGCCTTGTATGGTATATCATCAGGAGGCATTCTTTCCATGTGGGCAAACCATTTGATTTGCTGTCTTTGTATGTAATTTAGAAGGTTTAAACAATACAATGAATAAATCATATTGTGATGTTGTGATGGCCCTGTGGAAGCAAGTGAACAATGCAGAAGCACAAATAGATAATTACGGTCTGAGAAGAATGGCGGTGCAAAGAGTTACCAGGGGATCTGGCCGGCACTCAACACTCAAGGGTAAAACAAGACAGTTATACAATCAGTTACCAGTGCCACTGGAATTGGAACTCTTCGCTTGCTGCTGAAGATGGGGATGGAGCACTTATGGGAGTGTCCCGAGTGCTATGATGTTGATTATTAATTCAACATTCAACAATCAATTAATTAATCAACAAAAATGAGAAGTGGAAAGACTCTGTCCACATCGGCACCTCCACAAATGTTCCAGTCTGATCCCACTGATAACACTATATTCTCAGTGCTTACATTTCAAAGAGCTGGCAAAAATCCAAAATGTTTAAATACCACAACTAAAAATGCCCTAAAAAAAAAATTTTTTTTTTTCATAAAATCCATCACTGACAGTGGTGTCAACACAGCCTTTCAATTTCCTACTGCAATAAATTTTGAATGTCCACACAGATTATACAGATTCCAAAAAGTTTTTGTTAAAAACCTGTATCCCAGAAGGCTAGACATCAAAAGGGAGTGTGATATCTCCAGGTTCCTTATTTTATCAAAACTCATTAGCTCGGAATTATGTGCATTTTTTTTTTTCAAATTAGAAAGGTGAAAAATAAAAGAGGTGATTTTAAACAGACAAATGGTTTAATTTCTAGAACAAGAGTTATAATACTTGGAAATCTTGTTCTGGTGATCAAACCATTTATCTTAACTTGCAGAGTAGACTGATTTACAGATTTAGTGTTCACCATTCAACAGGAATTAATGTGTAATAAAACTTCTTCATGACATTTCACTCTTCTCAGTTATTTTTTTTTACAAAATATTTGAAGTTTGAACAATGGATGAACATCATGGCACACCGGTAGTAACCCATAAGTGCTCTGTTCTTCTTTTAACTCAAGTCTGAGTTCAAAGAAGCTCAGCCCAGTGCACAGACTCTGTAACACCGGTGAGGATCCTGAAATATTTTGGGTAGATTTTTTAAAAACTCACAATACAATATTTCCTGGGCAGCAACGGTAGGCTACTTTTTTCGATTTCCAACTGCCAAGGAATTTTTTACGTGCACAACAGTGTACACGGGCATCCAAACTCACTACCCAGATAATAGGGAGAATTACTAGAGTCCAAGTCCACGCAAAAACATCCTAGCCCTTACTGGGCACTGAACCCAGAACCTCTAGCACTCGAGGCGGACACCATGCCTCGAGACCACACAGCCCCCTTAGAAGATATTTATAAAGTATATTTGTTTTTTGAAATAGCTCTATTATTTCCCACCTTTTTAGATTCACTTCCTTCTGTTTGCTTTTTTTATTGTTTCTCTTCCTTTACATTTTTCTTCCTGTTTATTTTTGTCATCTCCTGAACTTCCTGTTTTAAGTTTTTGCATCTGTCCCAGTCACATTTTATGTTCCTTCCCTAAAGAAGAAACTGAGACAGAAAGAATTAGGAATATTTGGGATGAATAAATAAATGACCAGAAAACCTTCCATGTGTAGGTTCCAGGGTCTCCTTTAAGAGAAAGAAAGAATAGACTCACTGCTCATGTAACAAGCATGCCATAAAAGGCAACATATCAAGAGTCTACTGAAATCAAATATATTAGACCGAAAAGCACAGATATCACAGCTTAGCTGTAAACACAATGTTGCACAAACGAAAAAAAACACTGGACAAATCTGACTGTTATTTACATAGCAAAGTAAATATAAACAGACATTAAGTGTATTTACCTCCAGGTCCAAAATCAACTGTGGCATATGCACCTTTAACTTTGCCACAATTCATATAACTCAAGCCGCAGCCATCAGTTGTGTAAACTGTCACATTTCCCAGAATTGAGATCACTTTTTCCAGAAGAAAATTTGTATAGACCCTGTCACAAGCAAAATAGCTCCCATACTCATTCTCTATCTGCGGAAAAACACAATGGAAATCATAACCCTAAGATGAGATTAGACAGACATAAAAACACTTGACATTATATAACTAGTGTGTTTAGTCTTTATTTCTTAATCTACTTCAATGAGAGGAAGCTGCCATAGGATGAATTCAAAAAGAGTGGAGAAGAGAGAAATGTCTGGACAAATATCTGTATCGACTGCAGTAAGACAAAGAAATGGAGATATATTGGGCACACTCTGAGATGAAATGAGCAAAGAATTACAAAACAAACACTGAAATAGGAAACAAGCGGTCTGAGAAAAACAGGACGTCCAAGGAAAACATAAGGAAGAACATTATTACGAGACCCCCATGTGGGTTCCGGTGCCCCATTGTGGGGAAAACAAGAATAGACCCACTGCCTACTTAAAAGCATGTCGTAAGAGTCAACTAATTGGGGAGCTTCCTTTGAAGTCGGAGTGCATCTGCCAGAGAGGCAAGGAACCAACAGTCTGTATTCAAGAGAATGAGATCTGTAAAACTGATGCACACGCAACACTCAGGTTCTGGAGCAGGACTGCAGTTCAGTAGTGGACGAGCAACCAGAACCTTCCACCAGAGTTGACAGCTGGTGAACGCGAAGAAGAAGAAGATTATTACGAGAAAATAAAAATACTGTCAGAAATTGAGAGAGCTGCATGCAAAAGAGCGGAGTAGAGGAATCGAATGCGAGCCCTATATTATGTCTAACAGCACAAAAAAGGACGATGTTTATGAGAAAGAGCTGCCAAGGTGTAGCAGCTAGACACCCACCTGGGGATCCAAAGGTCATGGGTTCAAACTGGACAGATTTGAGCTATTGTCAAAAGTGACCTTGACTGACTTATAAGTCGACCCAGCCTTAAATGGGTACCAGGTAAAGTCCTGGGAAGTAAAGGCAGCTGGCATGATGTTGATCCCATCACCCACTGAGTGTCAATATAACATAGGTCTAGCACCATATGGCCAAAGACATGGAAAAGGGTCCTTTACGTTTACTTCTATGAGACAGAGGATATCCATGGCTTAGTGGTTAAGCAGTTTGCCTCCTGCTCTGAAGGTCATGGGTTTGCTTCAAAATACATCTTTTGGTTTACAAGTGCAATCTTTAAAAAGATCCCTTTGGATCATCACCAGAGCTACAGAGCTTGTGCTTTGTGCAAACATCTCTGCAGGTGGCCGCTGCAAAGAGACTGAGCCATATAGGATAAAACTCAGTGTAATGAGGGGTTGATCCACTTGACTTCCAATTTTAAACTTATGTGAAATATATCAATAACTGTGAATTTATTTCTAATGCCATTTTAATGACCTCAGAAGTTTCACAAGATTTGAAGTTTAACGTGCATGACCTAAACCCCATGATGGTAAGTTTGAAATCTGAGTGAAAACTCAGAAAGGTAAGTTTTTAATAATGAAAACTCAGAAATGTGTCTAAAAGCTGAACATGGTCAGTTAAGATTTGTCTAAAATAGAAGAATAGTAGAGTAACACTTATGCCTAAAATCAACAAATCTTCTTCTTAAGCCTTCCGAGCCATTGAAGTTTGCTGCAGATATTACCCGCCTCCACTCATTTAGCTGGTTGACCTTCTCTTTCTAGTTAGTGACACCAGTGTTTGCAGGTCTGCCAGGATGTTATCTCTCTACAATCTACGTGGTCTGCGACCATTCAACTCCTTTTTGTATAGTTTTTACCTCTCTGTCATCTGACATTCTTGCCAGATGCCCCAGCCATTTAAGTCTATTAGCTCTCATGATGCCACTGATCAATGGTCATTTAAACAGATAATGAATTGCATTTTTGCTTCTCACTGCTCACTCCCCACGGCACAACATGCATGACATGCTTGTTACATGAGCAGTGAAATGACTCTCGGCTTTACTTGGAATGAGTCGTGGTTTGACTTGTAGCTACGCTTTCAACTATCTTGAAATAAACTTGGAATGAACCTTATCTTCGCTTGGAATGATTCTTGGTTTTCTACTATCTTGTAATGAACCTTGAAATGATACGACACTTGTAATGAATCGTGGTTTACACCGACTTTAACATCTAGGGTTGAAAACACAAACTCCACTCAGCACCTTTGTACATGCTGTCAGTTTATTCAGTTACATTTATTCCCCATGCTTCAATAATTATTCACACTTCTATCACTCGCGACATATTCAAACACTAGTAATTCGCGCGACATAAAGACTACATCTTCAATTACTACAACCGTCTTCTCTGACTTCTCATGATCAACTGACCCCGAGTCTAGCTCGGGCTTCCCCTTGCTTACTCGACTAGCCACAAGTATCTCGTGCTGTCACTTGTTGCACGGACTTTCTACTTGCCACAATGTAATCGTGGAGACCATGCAAAGCAGGGTCATCACAGGCAGTAAGTCTATTCTTTATTTCTCCTAATTAAACAAAATCAACAAATGGTAGGTTATAAATATGCCCAGACACACTGAATGTTATATATGTTATTATTTAACACTATTAGGTTTAGATACGCTTAGATGATGGATCAACATCATGGCACAAGGGTAGTAACCCATAAGTGCTCCGTTCTATTTCTAACTCAAGTTTGAGTCTGAAGAATCTCAGCTCAGTGCATGATCTCCGCAGCACCGGTGAGAATCCTGAAATACTTTGGGTAGACTTTTTGAACTCCAAATTTTGCCCATCCAGCGCCGTTAGGCTACTCTTTTCGATTTCCAGCTGGCAAGGAATTTTTCATGTGTGCAACAATACACACAGGTGTCCGATCTTACTACCCACAGACCAGGGGAAATTACTAGAAGTCCACATGAAAAAATCCTTGAACCTGGGACCTCCAGCACTCGAGGCGAACGCAGCTCCCATTTAACACTATTACTCCTAGATATGCCCTGCCATTTCCCTTGTTTCCTTTTCTTTTCTGGACTACTATCTGAAGATTTGTACCCTCGTGCAACTAAAAGAATCACAACTTGGCTGGCAATCCAACTGGGCAAATCACAAATACCCAGCTCAAGCTTCTAAGAAGTTAAAACAAGAGAACCCATAACGGCTACAGCCAGAACTATCTTGATGTTCCTTGCAGTGCTAGATGCTTGCCTGCAGATCGGAAGGTCATGGGGTCGCATCCTGATAAAGCCAGACCTTTTTCAAAAATGACCTTGGCTCCAAGGTCGACCCAGCCTTGAGTGGATACCAGGCACAAGCCCTGCGAAGCAAAAGTGGCCGGCGTGATGCTGACTATATCCCCATCAAAGTCTAGTCCTATATGCCCAATACGCCTGAAGGTGTGGAAAATGGTCATTTACTTTTACTTTACATATGAATTTATTCTCTGAAAAAGTTAAGGCTCCAATGTGATCCCAGCTTGCTTTCCTGTCTTTCAGTGCATCTATATTGCTCATCTTAGCTGTCAATGGTATTTGTTTAGTTTATAAAAAACCACCAGCATAGCACTTGGGACATTCCCATAAGAGCTCGACCCCCATCTTCAGCAGCCAGCACAGAGTTCTAGTACTACTGGTTTCAGTAGCAGTTACGAATCCTTCTTGCTTGTCTTGCACTGTGGCAGTAAATCACAATAACAAAGATTTGCATGTGATGTGTTAATACATAGTAAGACAAAATAACAGTATCCCATATCACTTTAACTTTTCTCAAAGATTGATACCATAAAATGAACATCACAATTACTGGGAAAAATACACTGAAATTATATTAAACTTAACAATCTATACTCTTATAATCTTTTACAACTTACATACAAGCTATGATTAAATAACTAAAAGCAACTGATAAGCATAAATATCCAAATATCAAAACAGGAAAAAACCTGATATATCCCTATTACACAGATATATTAAACAGGATATACATTTTTTAAAAATACTACTACTACGGCTGAGGATCTGTTACATTAAGTGAACATTAGGCTTTAATTTCTACAAGCTTATTTACCTGAACCATGACAACAGGGCCTCCGTTGTCATAAAGGTATGGCTTGATGTAGTTGAGTAGTACTGTGTACCATTTGTCTACCCAACGTAGGTAAGCTGTTTAGTGAAACAAACAAAAACTACATATCTAATGAATGAAGACTTATCCCCACAAAGTATAGAACACATTTTAAAAAAGAAAACCAATGAAGACTACTCAGCACCAATTTCCAAATATGTATATCAAATGAATGAGTTAAGAACTGACTCAGGACATTCCCACAAGCACCCCATCCCCATCTTCAACAGCCAGCACAGAGTTCCAGTTTTGATGAGTTTAGAAAAAGTTAATATAGTAACAGTCCGAGTGTACATCCATCTTGCCTTTCTCTGAGTGCAGAGTATCGGCCAGCTGCCCTGATCACTCCTTGCTGCACCATTCTTTACAGACTGTAACAATCTATTAGCGCTCACATTGTTCACCTTCTCTCAAAGTGTCCAGATCACATTTTGGTCATGCATCAATTCAACACCCAGTGGTGCAAAACCAGCAGTCTGCCTGTTCTTTCAAAACACACCTGTGTGTCCTAGAGGAAAGATTTAAATGATGCTAACTACCCAGGACCTCTAAAGCAATGTTTGGCACTCAGCACACCTTTCTCATCATGCTTTTTGTGAGTCTGTTGAAATCACAAAATGTGTGCCCTCAACTTAATTAAGTCCCCGTGTGGATTCCAGGATCCCATTGTGGAGGGGAAAAAGCATAGACCCACCGTCCCCCCCCCCCCCTAACAAGCATGTCATAAAAGTAGATTAAATTAGGGCTGTTTCCTTCGAAGTCACAGTGAATCCACCTGAGAGGTGAGGAACCAGAATTCTGCATTTAAATAAAACAGATCTGTAAAATGGATGTGCACACAAACCTCAAGTTCTGGAACAAGATTAAAGTCTAGAAGTGGGCAAACAACAAGAACTTTCCGCCAGAGTTTACAGCTGGTGAACGCTTAGAAGAAGAAGAAGATCAAACAAATGTTCTCCTTCTTCTTCTTAGCGTTCAGCAGCTCATAACTTGAGGTTTGCTTGCACATCCAGATCTGGCTTATTTGTAGGCAGATTGTTCCTTCCTCGTGTTTCTGGCAGATGCTCTCCCACTTCGAAGGAAAAGGTTAAGGTTTAGATTTAGACGGATCAACATCATGGCACAAGGGGTAACCCATAAGTGTTCTGCTCTACTTTTGACTCAAGCCTGATTCCAAAGAATCTCAGTGCATTGCACGAACTCCGTAGCACTGGCGAAGATCGTGAAATACTTGGGGTAGATTTTTAACTCCAAATTGTTTGGGGAGGGGCAGTGGGTCTACCCATCTCCCTCCCTGAAGCGGGACACTAGAACCCACACAGGGATGATTAAACAAATGATCGAATGACAATTTATCATTAGATTTTTTGTTGTTGGTATGACTTCATTTTATGTCACTGGCAAAGTAATTAGTTAACTAACCTACTAGCAATGCAATAGTACAAGGCAGAAAGAACTACAGGGAATGACAGTTGCAATAGTTATAGAAATAAAATATGAGCATCAGCTACAGCTACAGGAAGAAGTGAGCAATGTTAACATTAAAGCAAGGAACTATGTCTTTATGTACACACACATGTGTATAAAGAGAGTCAACAGCACTAATTTGAAAAGTACAGAAATTCATGTATCCAGGAACATAGATGCATAGACTGAAATAGACTGAAGATGTATGACAGAGATAAATACTAGGTCAGGGCTCGCAAAAACTGCACTTTATAAAATGAAGAGCATTTTATACAATAAATCCCTGTAATATGAGGTTTAAAAAAAAAATTATGTCTGATTATTATAAAGAACGAGTTTTACCATATTGCTGTAAATCTTAGATAGTTAGTAAGTAAGCCACCCCCCCCCCCCACACGCGCTAACAACATTTTTTTTAAAAGTACACACACACATACACACAGACAAAAAACTGTAAACCATCAAAACATCTACACATATAAATGCTTCAGCCTTCCATACAGGTCACGTACAAGGGTCACTTGTGCGCAGAATCATGTTTGGATCTTCTGAAAGTAGCCAGGCAGGGAATCCACCCTAGAGAGCAAAACAAGTTATAGTAAAATGATCTTCCTTTGGGCAGTCTCCAGTTAAATGACAATAGTTATTTCTGGTAAATGTTTTTTTTATCTTTTACCAGAAGCACACAGTAAAGGTTTATAAATAAAGAAGGCTACAGGTCATGTTTCAAAATAACAATAACAACAGATATGTTGGTAACTAGAATCTTAAAAAGCAGAAGTTAAGTTAGTGAAAAACAATTAAATGTATATAAGTTTAGTTATTTGTAATGCCTAGGCCACAGACGTTTAACATGCTTTAAAGACTGACCACCTAGAAAAGAGGTTAAAGTCAATTAAAGGTAAGAGGATTAACTTCATTGCACTAAATGTTATCCCGTCTGGCTCAGTCTCTCTCCACAGAAATCACCGGCCACCTGCCAAGAGCGTCACACAAAGCAAAAACTCTGTAGCTCTAGTGATGATCCACATGGATCTTCTTAAAAAACTGTGCTCAATAAAACAATGAAACCATCTGTGAAACACACCCATGACCTTCACAGTGTGAGGCAACCGGCTTTGCCACTTTGCCAGGGAAAACATAAGTTCTTCTTTAATAGAAATGTTTATTTCAAATACGTTTTTCTACTTCTTCTTTATTCCCCTTAAAAGGGCGTCTGGAACATTGCACTGTGGTTTACAGCTAGGCTATGATAAATGCAGCTTTTGGCCCAACATATCTGATTTCAGAAAACTCCCCGTTAGTCGCCTTTTATAACATGCTTGTTATTGGGCAGTGAATCCATTCTCTGTAAACCCCGACGGAAAAACCTGGTTGTTCCTCCATGTGTGGAGTTTGGCTTTGTTCCAGGATCTGAGTTTTGCGTGTACATCCTTTTTACAGATCATGCTTTTTTTGTATGCAGACTGTTGTTTTTTGTCTCTCAGGCAGATGCACTTTGACTTTAAAGCAAGCACCCAAGTGGTCGACTTTTACGGCATGCTTGTTGGGGAGACAGTGGATCTATTCTTGTTTTCCCCACAATGGGGCCCGAGAACCCACACGGGAAGCTGCAAGAGTTAACCTCCAATACCATCTTCATTTCCCAATACTCTGTTAAATTTTGTGCAGTAAGATGTATATTTCAGTAAATACAGTTGAATAAATGGATACTGCTTACAAACTCCCATTCTCCGCAAATGTATGGGCCCATCCTAAGCAGAACAACGAGGTCATATTTCTGAGCTAAGGTCAGGAAACTGCCGAGGTCTGAGAAGCCTTTCCAATTGTAAACACCTGGTTGAGTTTCGTGGATATTCCAAGGAACATACCTGATTAGAACAAGTCACAATCAGTTTAGTCACATTGGCACAAACATGCTTAATATAATGCAAACAAAGCACTTCTGAAGACCTGTAGTATGAAATATATTACATTTGATTGAGTGTGTGTGTGTATGCAAGTGTGTATGTGCAGGTGTGGGTGTATGTATGTGGATGTGTATGTTTGTGAGTGAATGTGTGTGAGTGTGTGTGTGGATGTGCCAGTGTGTATGTATAAAATTCAAATCAGTATATCAATTTTTAAACAGTTAGTCATCTGTGATGGTGCCAACATTACCGTAGACAGGTGACCCCATTACCGCTACATTCCTGTACCAGTGGAAATTACAGAATATATCATTCGCTTTCTCAATTGGAAACTAGTGGAAAAACTTGTCAGTAACAGCAAAAATTTGAAGCTTGCACACTCAAAGTAAAAAAGCGCATAAGGAAGCTATCAGATGTGTCAATAATAATGATCTCACACCAGAACTGCAGCTCACTGTTGGTATAAATGGTCAATCACAAAAGCTGGCATTGCATGTGCAAAAGTACATGTTATTCGGAAAGTAATGGGCTATCCACTATCTATTCGAGTGCTATCAACAATATGATGCAAGCACAACAGAGAAAAAACTTCCATATGAAAAAAAAGGCTGTAAATAAATATATTCAAAAGAAGTCAACAGAAGGTTCTGGTCCGTTGCCTAAAGTTCAATAACTGTAAGCAGTGCTTTTTTTTTTTTTTAATTTTTAGAGGAAAGTGCCAGTACTCACCACAAAGTGTCTCAAAAGGGTGCTAGTACCTATCAAAATGTGTCAGTTCTCACAACCTACTGTCTAACCAAAAATTCACTTAAAGAAGATGCCAGTACTTACCAAAAAGTGTATAAAAAGGTGTCAGTACTCACTAAAAAGTGTATAAAAAGTATCAGTACTCACCAAAAAGTGTTTAAAAAGGTGCCAGTGCTCACCAAAAAGTATCTACTACAGCAGGGCTGAAAAATAATAATGCACAGAAAAAGGGCCAATACTGCAACTATTGCACACAACTAGAAAAACCCTGATTGTAACGATGATGATGATGATGACCGCTAAGGAGACCATGTACAGATAGAAACGAGGAGACAGCTTACGTCTGCACAGTATTCAGTCCTGCCAGCCTCATTTTCAGCAGCCGATCTGCCCAGTAATAAGGATGAACTCTAGAGTAGTGGAAACTTCCGGAAGCGTACTGGAATGGCTTCCCATCTTTCACAAATGTGTTATTTGTGTAGTCAATATAAAAAGTTGGTCCTGCTTGGATCTGAAGATGTATATCAAGAATTAAAAAAATAAAAAGTTAAGTATCAGAATGTTATATCAGAGTTTATTTGACACAGGGACAGCAAAACCTGAGGGCTTGCTCCCCCCCCCCCCCCCCCCCCCCCCCCCCCCCCCCCCAATCTGTAAGGAGGCTAAACTGCCCCTTACCTCTTCTTCTTCTTCTCTTCCACCTTTTACCTCATCGAAGTGTCGGGGGGAGATGTAATGTTCGTTGATGAGCTCTGTCAAGAGCACTATTAAGACTGATGTTCATTTCTGTAAGGCTGTTCTTAATGCCATCACTCCATATTTTCGAGGTCTTCCACCCATTGTAATGTTTTAGTGTGGCTCGCTGTGGCGGATAGTACCAGGGCATTCTTGCCAGGTGTCCAAACCACTTCATTTGTTGTTCTTCGATGACCTGTAAGACTGGCTTTATTCCTAGCATTCGTCTGATTTCATGATTTCGTATTCTGTCTTTCCTTGAAACTCCTGCAGCTCTTCTAAGGCATTTCATCTCTGTTGTCACAATTTTACGTTCATTGGAGGATGTAAGTGTCCACGTTTGGCATTGATAGCATAGTGTTGGCCAAAAATAGTTCTGATAAGATTCACTTTAGTACTCCGAGGTATCTGCTTGTGTGTCAACAGGGGAGATAGTTGACCCATTACTTGATTAGCTTTGGCACATCTGGAGCTAATTTCTCTGTCCAGTTTTCCGTCGGATGTAAAAATTGTTCCCATATACTTAAATTCCTCTGTTTGTCTCAGGGTGTTGTTTTTTGATTTAATTTCTAAATTGTCTTTATGTCTTCCTATCATCACTGTCTCTGTCTTCGTAGTGTTTATTTTCATATTATATTCCTCCCCTTTGTTACTAATTTGATTTAGGTGGTTCTGTAGGCATTCCGTATTTTCTGCTATGAGTACCTGGTCATCGGCGAAGAGTAATTCTGTAATATCTTCTTTATGATTAAAGTTCGTTTCGCTACATATAGTATCCATGTATGTTATAAAAGAAGCGGCGATAGTACACAGCCCTGACGTATACCAGAGTTCACTATAAAAGTTCTTGACAACCCTGCCTTCGATCTTATGCAGCATTTACTATGTGTGTACAGGCTTTTGCAAATATTAATGAGATGATTGCTGATTCCTTTTTTTCCCCATACATTCCCACAACATATTCCTGTCGACTCTATCAAAGACTTTTTCTTGGTCTATGAATGTCAACAAACATGTCTCATCATGTTCTATTGTCCTCTCTGATAGTTGTCTCAATGTATAAATGGCATCTGTGCAACTTCTGTTTCGTCGAAAGCCCATCTGTGCTTCTGAAAGTTGATACTCTATCAATGGTCTCAGCCTTTTTTCGATGATCTTAGCATACATTTTCCCAGTGTGACTGAGAAGTGATATTCCTCTGTAATTAGTATATTCCCTCTTACTTCCTTTATTTTTCCACAGCTGGATGATGGCAGCAGTCTGCCAATCTGATGGTGTTTCTTGATTTTCCCATGCCACCGGAAATATTCTCTTTAACCATATTGCTCCTGTTTCTCCTGCTGCCTTGATGGCCTCAGCTGGTAGATCATCAATACCTGTCGCCTTTAGTTTAGGGGCAGTTCGAATGACATATTTTACTTCATCCAATAATATACCTGGTTCTAGTTCCTCTGCCGTTATTTCCGAGTTGTTTTTATGTACTTCCCTGCTTTTATCTGTTTTATTGCAGCTAAGTAATGCTTCAAAGTAATTACTCCACCTTGCTAAAAGTTTGGTAGGTTCTATTAAAGGTTGGCTAACTTCATCATTTATAATTTCTGTCGGGTTGTATTCTTCATTCCTGTTTCTCATGCCTTTGATTTTTTTGTAGTAGTTTTTCACTGCTGTTCTTTCCTCTTCAGCCAGCTTGCTTCCAAACTTTTCCCATGAATCTCTTTTTGCTTGTCTGATAGTTCTATTTACTTCTCTTCTAATTATCCTGTATGTTATGTAATCCTCTTCTGTTCTGCTCCTCAGCCAAATTCCATAAGCTTTCTTTTTATTGCTCACAATTCTTCACATTTCTTCAGACCACCATGTTGAGAGCTTATGCCCTATGTTACCTTTCCTTTCAGTTCCACATATTTCTTGTGCTATTTTCATAGTAGTGTCTCTGAAATTCAACCATTCTGTATTTACCCCAAGTGTGTTTTGTGAAAGCTGTTCATAATTTTCCTGTAAATTTTGCTGAAACGCTCACCTATTTTCCTCACACTCTAGTTCTTTCCATTTTATTATGTCACTTTTATTACATTTCTTTTTTTGTTTGATAACTAATCTTGACTTTTCTGTCAAGTATCACCATCCTATGGTCTGTATCTAAACTCACGTTTGGTATAACTCTTGCATCTGTAACTTCATGAAAGTCTCTTTTTCTCGTCAAGACTCTTGGTATCTGGATCACTCCATTTATACCATGTAAAACATCTCCTATTTTCATCTTGGGCACTTCTTTTTGAACCGCTGAATCCTCCGCTGACTTGCCGGGCCTGTCGCGAATTCATCTTCAACTGAACAACTACACTAATCTAACACATTTAACATTCTTTCCAGGAATAAACACATCTTTTAGTCACAATTTTCGGCAAATGTTGTTTACGCATATATAAAAGTTATCTTTTTTTTCCCAAAGATAGTGTCTATACTTATATGATTTCAAATATATTATAATATTTATTTACCATTTATTATTATTATCATCATTAAGCACTTAAACAAGGTATAGGCCCTTTTAGGTTATCCTCTTTCTCTTTAGAAAATATGTAAAGGGGGGGGGGGGGTAGTTAAGCACCCTCCTCCTCACTCCCCCACCCCTATGATTTCCTCATGTCAGTGCCCCTAGTTCGACCTCTGTTGTTGTGACGCATGAACTTTTTATAAATATAACATATTTTACTATAATTCATAAGTGAATAAAACAATACATAATCGCATGGATGATGAGTGGTAAATGTGTGTGGTTTGCGTTATTATTTTTATCACAGCCTGTTTCATGTACAGCTTGGGGAAAAAAAACACTGACAGTATTCTAGCTCTGCTCCTACTTGCTTATAGCCTGGCTACCCCAGCTGGAAACACAAATGATGTGGTAACCCAATGTGCACTTCTCTCTTCTTCATTCCTCTTTTATTGCTATGGGTGTTGAGGGAGATATGAGGTACTGCTTCTTGCTCTTTTGGCTGCCTCGATCATACAGGTAATGCTGTTGAAAAGTTTCTCAGATGTTACATTTCCATCTTGTTCTTTCTCTACCTTGTGCTCTTTGTCCTTCTCCTCTAGGGACCTTGCTAAAAAGCTACTTGTATATGGATGACAAGTATCTGAAAATGTGCTTTTCTTAGCAGAAGATGGAAGTAAAATCTGTAAACAATCCCGACCTGGCCAGCAGAACATGATATTATTCTCTTTACTATAAAATTAGGCTATCCTCCTAACTTCGGGCACTAAAGATGGTGGCCGCAAAATATCCTTTCAAGCCACAGTCACGTGTCAATTGCGCACTTCCAGCGACTTAATTTGCAGTTCTCCTGCGGTTTTCCGGTGACTACCGCCACCGCCACGAGTCCCCCATGCCGCTCACGGAGCTTGGCTCGTGAATCCTAGCCATCTAGTTTAGCCCCAATCCACGCCGCGTGAGCAGCGTGGGGGACTCGTGGCGGTAGTTGCCGGAAAACCGCAGGAGAACCGCAAATTAAGTCACGTGACTGTGACTCGAAAGGATATTTTGTGGCCACCATCTTTAGTGCCCGAAGTTAGGAGGATAGCCTAAAATTATAACTGACCAATACCATATGTCATGCCATAGTATGGGCATTTTCAAGACTCCTTCCAATAATATCCAGTGATATGTTTGAAACTGCTAAAAACCACTTTTCATACTCTCTTTCCATCTTCTGCTTCCCAAGTATTCTAGACCAGTAGTTCCCAGCTTATTTATAACTGCAACCCCTCATATTTCTAAAGCCACATACCCCATACTTTTTTACAGTCACACTGAGGAACTTATGACAGTTTATAAATAACAGATTTACTTCAAGGTTTGCCAGGCAGAAGCCATCCGTCATTACATAAACCAGAAGAGAATAAGAAGTTTTAACCTAAAAACACTTAGGACATACTCAGGAGGAGATCGGAGCACTTGTGTTCATGTACCATATGTGCCAAAGATGATCTTCAAATGAAGGAAATTGTGCGTGTTAATGATACCAAAGACCCCATGAATGTGTTCCAAAGACCACTAGGGGTCCTGGACATCTTCATTCCTGCATTAATTTCCAATGATTTGGACTTTTCTAAGCCCAACCCAGCAGCAGATCCTACCAGAGTCACTGCATGACATTATAGGCGTTACCCAGAACATTTATCGGTGTCTGTGGTCTCTGGTACAGTCGGCTGCACAGTTAATCTTTAATTATCACTTTATCACCACAGACAGATATGCAATTAGCAATGGCTTACTGATATTCAAGGGCATTTTCATCTATGGATTCTCACAATATTTTGTCTAGCCATCCTCCGAATAATGGTCCCACATTATCGAGGCTAAGAAAATACCCTAACAGGTCCTCAGTTATATGTAAATTGCGGACCTCTTTGAAGCTATTATACCGCCACCGCCGAGAGTATCCCACCGCGTCACGCGTAGCGGCGCAGAGGGAGGCTTAACTAGATGCCTGGGACTCATGAGCAAATAAAATGGAGGAGGCTGCAGGAGATGTGGTAGCTGCTGCTCGTGAAACCTAACCATCTAGTTCAGCCCCTCTCGCGGGGAAAACTCTCGGCCCTGACTTTAACTCAGCCGAAGCTTTTCTACGGTAAGCGGTATAGTCGCCGGAAAGAGGTCCGCAATTTACATATAACTGAGGCCCTGTTAGGGAATTTTCTTAGCCTCGAGGATAGCCCATTGTCTTGTTTGGCTTTTCCCAAAGAAAACAAATGTTGTGATGAGTTACATAA